GTGATTTCGATTTTGATTCACACACACACACACACACACACACACACACACACACACACACACAGCTTTTCTCCCTCTCCTTGTTGTCCGATATTTTTTTTATTTTTTTTTTTTGGTTCATCCAAAGTCGTGAGTGCGGTCGGTCAGATCAGAGCAAAGCTGACCCAAGGAGGCGGCAGGCTCTGAGCGTCAACCCTCGCCGAAGAGAACGGCAAGCCTGACGTGAAAGAGGTGCTTTGTAGTCAGGCTTAGCGTGCACAAGTCATGACTCAGAATAGGAAGGGCGCGGGGCGCGGGGCAAGGGGTAAAAGAAAAGGGCAATTGGCAGGTCAGCAACGTGTGCATAGCCGACAACGCAAACAAGGCTCTCGCCTGCCTTTGCACCGCAGAGCTGTATGAACTGTGTCAAGTTGTTGATCATCGCGCAGTCGTGCGGATCATATGACAGATGGCAACCAGCTGTGTGGCGCCTATGCAGGCCAAGGCAGATCAGAATTTGCACTGGAGTAGATGTACCACATCGGCTGATAATCAGCCTTCAGCGCCCTTGGCGTCGTGCCCGCGCCACCGTTGAGGGTTGGTGGTGGTATTCGAACCGTGGCCAAGTCAACGATTACAGTGTTAGTGCAAAATCGTAATCCACGGCGGCTGGCTTTGGTGCTGAACGTGGCGTGTGTTAGCTAGGGACTTTAGAGACGGCGCCTTTCAATAAAGTCGCGGTACGTGGTTTGGGAATGGGCGCGGTGCGGGCCCTTTGTTCTGCAATGTCCTGTTCCCACCACCAGGAAGAAAGGCCGGCTCTTGATAAAAAAAACGTCCAGTGTTTGGGCCGGGCGCATGGCGCTGCCCAAAGAGGCGGAGGAGCGTGTCGCGACCACCGGTGGTAGCGAAGGGCCGACAGGAGCGGTCGGTATGGTCAAAAGTTTTGGAGTATTAACTTGGGCAGGAGCGGCCAGTTGACCAGATGATTTACGGCTGTGGCGAAAAGATTTCTGGTCTCGCGACCTCTGCAGCAGCCTCAGAGGAGCAAAATCCATTCCCCCCTCCTTGCTCTGTCGCTCTCAACGCACGACTGCTTGTCTTGGTCTGTGCGTGAACTTGACATGTAAATTGAGAATACGGTGGCAGAAACGGTCGATGACATGCTTCAATTGTCAACAAAGCAACAAGCCCGCAACTGAGGAGTGGGTCAGCCATTATTGTGACTGCCCGGCGATATCAAAAGCCTTGAGTCCACACAGAATCACCTCGGAGATTTCGGTGTCGGGAGCAACTTCAAAGCAGTCGCCGAGCTCCTTGACAAGATCCGCCAAGTTCTTGCCGTCATACTTGCTTGGATGTGCAACTCAATTGCCAGCCAGGCGCAGGGCGTCCATGGCGCTGAAGAAGTCACCTGGTGTTTTTGACGTCTGTTCCTGCAAAAGCTTCACAAACGCGAGATACTTCTCTGCAATGTTGATCTGGGCGCTTTGCGGGAGCTCCTTGACAACCTCGTGGATCTCGGTGGTACGAGAAGGAGGAGCGCCTGCTTTTGGGACTTGACCGTAAAATCCGCCATCGCGAATGATGAAGGGGACAGCCCAGCGCATGTATTCACCAAGGTCTTGCAGGCGGCTAACATCTTCACTGGCTGACCAGCTCACATGATGGAGTAGAGTCGCGCGGACAAGCGTTGCCGCTTTCGAAACGATTTGCCGCTTCTGAAGCGGGATGCTCACAAGGATTTCCAAGTTCTTAATGGCGGCAGCGTGGCTCTCATTGTCCTTCTTCAAGGCTTCGATGGTGGCAGCTTGGGCTTTGATGGTGGCAGCTTGGCTCTTATTATCCTTTTTAAGGGCGTCGATGGTGTCAGCGTGGCGCTTGGCGTGGCTCCTCATTTCCTCTCGCAGGCTTGCGATGTCCTCGCTCAAGCTCAGAAGGTGAGCGGGCGCATACTTGACCTCGTTCAGCTCGTTGGTCGTTTCTGCGACCCCGATCAAGCCATGTTGTACTTCTTCCCAATAGACTGCGGGAGGGTGCTCGTTGACCATGTTGGCGATCGTCTCCAATATCTCATTCGCCTGGAGCACCTCATCCACGTGACTCTGAAAGTAGCTTTGAAGGCTTTCCAGCGATTGTGCTGTGTTGCAGGCGCGGGCACAAGCGTGAGCATAAGCATTGACATTGTGGCCTGCAACTCGTAGCGTCACATACCCAGCCTTTCGTAGCTGTCTCTCACAAAATCAAACAAGCTGCGAGGCAGGGCCATGGTTCAAGTCAAGGGTAGCGGGGAAATGATTGACACGACCGATTCGCAACATTATTTGGGGAGGGCCAATTGTCGACAAAACGCTTTTTTTCCCGCCAAACAGAAATGATGACATTTCCAACAATCGCTGACATTCAACACCACACACACACACACACAACACCAAGCAGCACTTACGAGTTGTTGAGGAAAATGCACAGATCTCAACAACAAAGCGCATACATGTCCACCGTGTACGCTAATTATAGGTGAGCCACATCTTCATCTCTCTCTCTCTCTCTCTCTCTCTCTCTCTCTCTCTCTCTCTCTCTCTCTGTGAGAGCGACGGCGGTTTTTTTTTCTTTTTTTTTTGGCGGGAAGAGGGGGAGAGAAAGGGTTTATGTGAGCGCGGCGGGACATCGGTGTCTTGGCCAAAGTGATCGTGTGTGGGTGTGGGTGTGGGTGTGTGTTCTAAATTGGCTTGAAGAGGTTGAGGTGTCCTGGTCAGGATGCTTGGAACGGTGGTGACGAGTAGTTGCCCGCTGGTGGCTCGGCAGCTGGGCCGGACAGGTACCAATTTCAATGGCCCATCGCTTCTTGCTTTGATAAACGGGGTTGGCCTCACGTTGTCCGCCTTGCCTGTGGGTATAGGATTGCGGCTGGCCATGGTGGATCTGCAACATGGCTTGCTCGACATGCGGGGACTGCTCCCCATGCTGGGAGCCCTTCGTGAGGTCGAAAATGTCTGGGTCCGCTGTCCCAGCGGCGAAGACGCCGTGGTGGGTCGCATCCTTGACCATGGCGTACGCACCGTGGTCTTGCCTGCCGTCAACACGGCACGTCAAGTAGAAAACTTTGTGCGCGCCGCCACCTATCCCCCTCGTGGTATGAATGTTCAGCTGGCCAAGCCCCATCGTGATACTCGACCGCCCCTGCTACAAGTCTCACCTGTTGTACGGGTGAGGTCAAAATAGGCCACCGATCCTTTCAAGGCATGACGTTTGCAGTGGGCTACGAGGGAAACGAAGCCGTGCGTCCCGTGGCCATGATTGAGACAAGCGCAGCCCTTGACAATTTGGACGCCATTTGCCAGGTCTGTCCACCTGCCAGCCTTTGTCAACATGGCTGGGGTCTTGCGAAGGAGCGCCCGGTCTAGCCAAGGGGGAAATTCTGCTGGGCTTTTACTCAGGTAGTTTGATTTGGGTTAGGTGCCAGGTCTACATGGTTTGCTAGTGGGGCCATACGACCTGGCTCGTTCCCTGGGCATCACACCGGATGTGACATACAGCCATGTGGCCATGCAAGAAGTCTTGGACCAGGTGGTCACCACGGCCCAGCAGAGTGGCTTGCAAGTGGCGGCCTGGGCGGGCTCGGAAATGGCAGCCACGGCTCTCTTGGAGCGTGGCCTGAATGCCGTTTTAGTTGGCACGGATATGCAATACCTTCAGGATGCGATTGCACAGTCGGCCTTGGTTTCAGGCTTGAGTCGGCGTTCGATCCAAGCTCCGGTGCCACCTCGCTCTGAGCCATTGGCCACGGGCATGTCGGCGGACATCTTCGGCATGGCTAGTGACGATTTGGGCTCAGCCCAGGCGCAACACACTCCAACAGCACCCACACACCCTTGGGAAGCGGCAGGGACACCGTCCTTATTTGAGGCACAACAACCTGACGCCGATTTGGATATTACCAATGTGGCCGACATGCGGGAGGCCTATCGGCGCAACCCCGCGCTGCTCAAGGACATGGGGCGTGCTTGGGCTGAGGCCATCGATGCTTTTGACAATTACGAGCTCCCCAGCCGCAATGGTGAGCGCTAGGCCGGTGGGAGCGCTAGGTTGGTCCCGGCGTTGGGAAAAAACCAACCAACACACACTTACAATAAACCCCCCCAAGTGACATGCCTCCCGCTGCGCGGCCGGAGCATGAGACTAGCAAGTAAAAAGCGACGAGGGACGTGGGCTCCAATCGATTGCTCAAAGACTCTTTTGATAGGGACCAATTCATAAACGAAGGAAAGTACAGATGGACGCACAGCGTCAGTGGCTACACGCTCAGTCCCACAAGACAACATGCACCCTTGGGGCAAGCGTGGTGCCATGTCATGGGGCTGGGGTCGGGTGTTGGGCTGCCGGGGATGCGAGGCCGGCGAGAGAAGTGGCTGCCTAAACAAGGGGCCGATCCAGAAAGGTCAAGTGAACGGTCGAGACAAGGCAAGCGCCGAACAGAACAGGCACCACGTACGGCTTCAATGTGTGCGGCACACGGCACGCCCTGATACTGAGTCACGCAGGAGAGGGCCGTTCGAAGCTTGGCGTAGCCTAGCATCTCAGTGCGCACATACGCGGTCTCGCCCTCCACGGCCAAGACATCCACCAGGAAGCTAGTGGCCAGCTACACGACAAAGGCAAAAGGGAGTGGGGTTTGAGAGCGAGGAGCAGTCGCATCAGGCTGCAAAAGACGTCGCAGGAGTGCAGCACGGGACGGCATGCATGCAGGATGAGTCACCAACCTCGCCGTGAAGGTCGGTCAGAGCGGCCAAGGCAAAGGTCTTGAGGTCGTTCGGGGTCCAGGTAGCATCGTTTTCGAGCTTCCTATCCAAGAGGACCATGTCATCCGGGTCAGCCCCGTGGCGCGAGGTCGCTCACGCCATCACCGCGCATGCGAACGTACAACCGAAGCTTGAGAAAGTAATAAGGGTGAGTGGCGATGGTCAGCGACATGTTGATCCGATGCTTGCTGGTTCTCTGCACCCGGTGCCTTATTGTCGGTGCAGCAGCACCGGAAAGCCAGCCCAGCGCCAAATGAGAGAGGGAGTCGAGCTCACGTCGTCGTCGTCGTCGCGTTGATTCAAGTGAGAGCATGCATCTCTGGTTTTCGCTGCAAATGTTCACTGTCAAGATTTGTAAGATTGACAGGATCTCTGCGTGACTTCATTTTGTGCGCTGTCTCTCTCTCTGTCTCTCTCTCTCTCTCTCTGTCTCTGTCTCTCTCTCTCTCTTCTCTCTCTCTCTCTCTCTCTCTCTCTCTCTCTCTCTTCTCTCTCTCTCTCTCTCTCTCTCTCTCTCTCTCTCTCTTCTCTTTTCTCTATCTCGTCTCTCAGAGAGAGAGAGAGGGACCGCAGTGATGGCAGTTGGGGGCCGGGCGCTGGGACAAGCGCTTGACTTTAAACAAGTGAGTGGTGTAGTCAACAAGTGTGGCCTGTGGGGAAGGGTTCATGCTGCATGTTGGTATGTTACACGAGCGAGCGACGCACGGCCCGCCGCACTCACAAGAGCTGCGCCGCGTCGGCGTGGGCTTGCCTAGTTTTTGCGGCGAATGGAGTGTCTCAAGCTCTACCGCGACATTTTTCGCACCTCATACCGTGCGTACTGATCGTCTCTGGCCTTGCCGTCGTCGTGCCAATTCGATCAGTGCCGAGCACATACGCCCACCCCATTCACACGCGCGCACGCAGGGTTGGAAGACAAGGATTATCGCAAGTTTATCCAGGAGGATGCCCGGTTGCAGTTTAAGCGGCACAAGAATGAAGTTGACGCCGTAAGACCGCTCTTCTGCCTGGCGTCTCGTCTTTTCGGTGGTCTCCCGCTCCTCACTGCACGGGCTTTGGCAGCGTGAGGCCCAGCTGTTGCTGGCCAAGGGACGCAAACAACTCAACGACTTTTTAAGCATGATGCACATGGCCACACCGGTGTGTGCCTGTCTCTTTGCTTGGATGTCTATACATTCTACCATGCTGGGCCAGCCCATGAATGAAGCGGGGCGTCCTCCCACGTACACTCACATCTGCGGACGTCCTGTCGCCATTTTCAGGAGTAGGCAGCCATCTATTCGCCTGGTGAAGCATCTGCGTCCGGCTGGTCGGGAGCTGGCTGGCCCGTGATGGCATTGGTCTACTGTTTTTCTAGAGGGCCTGATTTTGCAGCTGTGCTGCACCCTTTTCTCTGCTGCCACCATGTCCTCGTTGAGCGCGCCGACCGTGCGTGCTGCCGGTGACTTTGGCGCAACTCGACAGTTTTCTGAATTGATTAGGATCTTGGGTCTTAAGCATCTCGACAGCAAGGCGACTCAAGCCCAGCCGTGCAAGCCTCCAACACCACCACGGAGGCATAAGAAGAAGAGAACGAGAGAGGTAAGGAGCGCGTGACAGAGTCGGAGAGACAAATTGAGCCAGCGAGGACCCATGTGAGCCACAGACCAAGGATTCACGCAAGACGTAGCAACATGAGAACATGGAGGCAGACAAGACAGACATAACAGACAAGACAGACAAGGGACAAGCAGGCAGACAGGCAGACGGGCAGGCAGGCAGGCAGGCAGGCAAGAGAGTCGGCGAGCGACAGACAGACAGACACACACACACACACAGACACACACACACACACACACACACACACACACACACACACACACACACACAAGAGTGTTGTCAAGTTGTCATGTTTATTAGACCAACGAGATGAGAAACCCGAATGGATATAACGACTTATCGACGAAAGATTTAAACACCAAGGTAACATAACTTTATATTACAAAGAGTTTGTGATGCATATGATCAAGTTATTGCAGATCCTTTTTTTCAAATTTTTGCTTGAAATTTCGAGCTGCGGTGGTGGTGGCGGTAGTGATCAGCCCACCGGACGTGCGGTAAAGCCTGGTGACGAGGGCGGTCTGGCGGGGTTTACCTCTGCCTGCACATGTGCGAAATCTTCAACATTGGTGGTCCTGCAAAACCATCTTGCTGGTGGGGTGCTGTTGCTCGCCGTTGGCCGTGTCTTGCCATGACTTGAGGGAGGCTGGCTGCTGGACGTGCTCAAGCCTGTCACCCCGAGCCGTTGCCCCGCTCTGCGCGACAACAACTGCGCCCATCTGCACGTACTCGTTGCTTTGAGCATCAAACGCCATGCCGTCCATTGCCACGTATCTGCGGCTGCGCCCGGCCAAGACGGTGCGTGCGCCTTGTCCAACTGCGCAGCCTCGGTCCAGCATGTTCCACAGGCCTTCTGAACTCGTGCTTTTGACCCACTGACTGATCGGGCCGCCTCCTCTGACCGAATATCCACCTTGTATTTGCACTTTGCTTTGTGCGCGTGCCTGTTCCATCCGCAGCCCTCGGAGGATCTGGACGTTACCCCAGATGAGCCCGAGGTCCTGAAGGTATGGCATTGCAGCCACTTAGCCAGCATCAATGGGTGTTCAGCGGCTAGGCGGTGCTCGCTCACGGAAATTTTTTTGGCAATGCATGCCTGTCCTCGGTTGCACTCTTTTTCTAGGTCAAGGTTCGCACCGACGGTTTGACGGACCAACGTGGAGACCATTCAGCCAAGGTTCAGTATAATTTCAAGTTTGATCAGATTTTTGGTCGGGACACTCCGCAGCCAGAGGTGAGACTTGAACCCGCTATCGCCTTGTCAAGTTTCCCACTGCAACCTTTTCATCACGTCTTGTTCCTTTCTCTCTCTTGTTTTGGAACACATTTCCCGGTCTTCCCCCACCGTCATGTTTTGGCAGCTCTTCGAGACCGTGGGCCAGCCCGTTTGTGATCGTTTCCTCGAAGGCTTCAATGGCACCATTTTTGCTTACGGTCAAGTATGTCCCATCACGCCCTGGCGGTGCCTTGCCTTGTTTGCTTTCAAATGCCGAGTTGGTGACTTTTTTTTTCTCTCATCCTTTTGCCCCTTCCTCCCTAAAAGATTTGAAGAACGAGGTCTCTTGCCCCGGTGCATTGACTACGTCTTTAGCCAACTGAGCGGTGAGGCTGACCCTCGGTTTTGCACCTGCAGACAAACCATCATTCAAACCGACTTGATAAAGACTTGAGTTTTTTTTGACGCCATGCAGTTCTGCGTCACCCCGCTCCTTGATCTCACGTGCCGAAATGAATCCCTTGCTTGCATGTAGACTTAAAAGCCACCAATGCATCAGTTTTAATCACATATCTGGAAATCTACAATGATACGGCCTACGACCTTCTCAACGTTGCCTCGGGTAGCAGTGCACGCCTACCCAAGGTCAGGGCAGCCGAAGCACGCCGTTTGCATGGCATGGCCCAAGGTCTTGCGCGCAGCCTCATGTTCCTCTTGCTTGGATGGCCAGGTGTCCGTGCAAGATCGTGGCACATCAACCGTGGTCCACGGTCTCTCACAGCATCCTGCCCCGACGGACGATGTGGCGCACCAGCTAGCCTTTTTGGGTCCGTCAAGCCGCGCACCCGGCCTTGTCATTTTCTATTTTTCTTCCATTTTTCTTCTGTTCTCGTGTATGCTCACGACAGTTCAACGTCGGGGTTCTGCGGTTGCTTTGTTTGTACCAGGTAAATCCAACCGAACGGTGGCGGCAACTTCCATGAACATGGCCTCCTCTCGCTCCCACTCCGTCTTTACCATGACGCTCTCCTACCAACGTCCGGGGTCAGACACCATTATCAAAGCCAAGGTAGACCCGAAATGGTTGTCTTGCCTCGGCTTGCCGTCTTACGCTTTTTTTTCCCTTTCTCCTTTCCTTTCCTTTTTGTCTTTTTTTCTTTTCTCTTGTGATCCACCGGCTCACTCACCCAACCTTGGGTCGCCAGTACCGGACGTGCATTATTCTCTCATTTGCACCCTTGGCCGACTGGTAGCTCAATTTGGTTGATCTAGCGGGGAGTGAGCGCGTCAGCAAATCGCACGCGGCGGGCCAGCGCCTTGATGAGGCCAAGCATATCAATCTTTCTCTCCATTACCTAGAGGCTGTCATCATTGCATTGCAAAAGGTAGATGCCACTCTGGCATTTTTCAACTGGCATGGCGCGCTGTTGCCCCATTCTTTCATGATGGCCTTTTTTCATGATCTTGTCAACTCGTTTTTCATGACACTTGTCATAAGGAAACCAAGCTGAAGCATGTGCCATACCGAAACTCACTATTAACCAAATTATTACGCGACAGGTGAGTCCTATCTCATTGTGCGGACCGCTTTTGACCGGGGGAAGGGGAGGATGTTTCGTACTTTGACAAGCGCCGCAACTTGTTTCTCTAGCTTGGGCGGCAACTGCATTACCGCGATGATTGCGACCATCTCTTCCAAAGCCAGCAACATACCCGAGTCCATATCTACCTGCCGCTTTGCACAAGTCTGTTCTCCAAACCAGTAGCTAGTGCTGCAATGGCCGCTCTCCTGGGGCAGTGGGCTGCGTTCACTGCCAACGGTGGTTGGACCAGGACTGATCGAGTGTTCGCTGTGTTTGTCCTGGTAGCGCGTGGCTTTGGTCGACAACAATGCTCGGCGTAATGAAGTGCTCGACGACAAAACTGTGATCAAACGCTTGCGGCGCCGTATTGCTGAACTGCAGGCTGAGCTGAAAGTCGCCCAGGAGGTGGGTGTTGCGCTTGAACACGTGCTCTCTTGCACTGCTCCTGATCGAGCACGAGTACAACCCAATGCTTGCTTAATTTATCCCGATTGTGCTGCAATTGACAATGACTTTTGCAGGTGGCGCGGGACGTAACGGCTTCGCAGGCAGGCGAAGCAGGCGAAGAACGGCCCGAGGCTTCCAAGGACGGCGTGATTGACCGAGCTGCGTACGTCCCCCAAAGCAGAAGAAAAAGAAGCAAAAAAAAAAAAAAAAAAAGCACTATCGCCTGAAGGTGTCGTCGCATCGCAGTGGGCTCATTGACCTTTGATCATTAATTTAGGTGTGCCAAGCTAATGAAGAGCTACATTCATGGAAAGCTGGGGGACCCCCTCGCTGCCGTACCTGAACCTCAAGCACTTCGGCTTTGCTTCGACATTTTACGCCAGATGATTTTGGACCAGCGTGCTCAAGTCGGTTCGTATCCCAGTCGCCGCGATCCCTGTGACACCAAGCCTTCCCAGTTAATTTGCCGTGCTTTGAAGGAAGTGTGCAGCTCTTGTCATCGAACGAGCCGTGATTGATCTCCTACTGTGCTATAGACGAGCTTGAGACGACGGTGGCCGAGGGGCTCAAAAATGCAGAACAGCTGCGGGATCTCAAGCAAAAGTTTGGCGTGACGAGGTGGGCATCTGCGTTCCATGGCATGGTTATACTGGGTGTGGGACTACATCTGACAGCCATCTTGCACGGGGGCAGGGCTCGCATGCGCAACCTAGAATCCTCTGTGATCAAGCCATCAGGATATGGCTCTCCTCAAAAGCCCAGAAACCGACGTGCCCGCAAAGCAGCAGCCCGTGGCCAAGCAGCTGGTATGTCGTAGAACCGTCTGAATCCTCGCTTCGTCGTGTCAGACCGGTCTCAATTCATGTGCACCGTAGGCGCCGGCAACAACCGCAGAGCCAACGGCAACAAGCAGTCTGCGCAGCAAACGCCACAGCGTGCGGTAAATCCAAAGCTTGGCCCGCAAAGTGAGCGCAAGCGGCATATCATGACGTCCGGTCAAGAGTCCTTGCAAGTTGGCGTGCCACGCATTCAGGTCGGTGCAACCAAATCGGCAATCTATTGCGAGCACGTCACAAAACACCTTTGCTCAAAGACGAATCTGCAATGTTGTCACTGGACATAGACCCGACGAGCCAAGCCGCAAGTCAATCGTAGCCGAGCCGAAAAAACACTGATGCTTTTGCGTCGCAAGGAAGAAGAGCTTCAATATGCTTTGGTGGCTTGCACGGAGCAAGTGGAGCAACAGCGCCAAGTAAGCTTGTCATTCAATGAATACTCGATGACGGCTTCGCTTTAACAAAAAGCTGCTTTTGAATCTCGGAATGTTGGATGCTTATGGCCAATGCCAGGGTCACTGGTGACTCACGGCGCGACCTTTCCTTTTCTTTTTGCTGCAACGCCCAAACCCTTTTGGGCGTTCCCTGCCTGCACAGATTATTGAATATTGTGATCGTCACGCGCCACAGCGCCTACTTAGTGAAAAGCAACGTGAACGCCAACTTGAGGAAGAACAGGTAAGAAAGTTGTGGCGCCATCAAACCATTGCGGCACCTTGGAGCTCGTCGTCTCATCTTAATGGTGGCATAGGCCCAGCTTGCGGCCCAACTGATTGAGATTCAAACAGGCCGCATGGAGCTGGAGGAGGCCGTGGGCATGTCGGTGGAGGATTTGCGACGCACACGTCTGTTTTGATTGATACGCTCTACCCCAATCGCTGTGGAGTAAGCTGAATTCGCGCTCACCTTTCCATTCGTGGATACCACGTAGAATCGCAATCACGCACGGCTCCACCCCAGCGCTCGCGTACTACGGGTAGTTTGAACGAGTCCTCGCCGGCAGCGACCCCTCACCGCAGTCACAGCTCGCGTGCGGCCCGCACCATGTCTACCAGCGTGAGTCCCTGCTTCCTCAACTCATCTCCCCCACGAGTGTGATGGTTTCTCAGCGCTCACGCTTGCGCTCCTTTCATGACGGACTCGCAGCAATTGTCCGGCACGGTTGGCCGAAGCGGAACTGGCTCAAGCTTGAGTTCGACGGCACGCTCGTCGCGCTCAACCTCCACACTCCCTGCTGACGGTGCGTGACCTTTTGTTCCGCACACAGCAGACTCTTGGCAAGCGCCCTCTCATGCAGCGATCACTTTTGCTTGATAGGTGGTGGTTCAGAGGCAAGTGAGCGGTTGCAGGCGCTGCGCGAGCGGGAAGAAGCCACGCGCGCACGGCTGGCGCAATTGAAACAGGAAATGCTGGGCAACCAGACGCAGACCACACCAAGCAAACCACTTTCAGGGGCAACCTCCTCGGCGCGCCCTGTCGCTCAGACCAGCGAAGCACACGGGGGTCCTAAAATTCGCCGTGAGAGTGGGATGCTGGGAGCGGATCCGAGCTCTGGCTCGGTGCGCCATGTCGGGTCGTTTAGGACCACTGGCCCTTTGGGTCCATCGTCCGCACCGTCACCCTCGCCGACCATGGGCATGACACGCGCATTTCCGCCGTCAGCAGCAGCGACCCCTTCCTTGCGTGCCACACCGACAGCATCAACCCCTTCCTTGCGCGCCACACCGGCACCTGTAGCCTCCTCGGCCGTTGCGACCATGCGCAGCAAGGATCCAACACAGCCACCGTCAGAGCAACAGTACATGACGGCTTTGCAGAGCCAGCGCTCACGTGTGCAGCGCATTCGGCAAGCCATCAAGGCCGCTACGACTATCCAACGAGCATGGCGGCAATACGCACAAGCCAAGAAAAGCAAGGGGCGCTCACAGCGGCGATAACCCCTACACTTAACTTGTCCGTATTCTGTTTTCAATATTGACCCGCTTGCCTTGGCGCTGAGCGCCAACAGACCACAGCGTTTGTCATTTTGCCTGCTGGATGCACCGCGAGTACTTTCTCCTTTTTTTTTTTTCTGGAGCTTGCAGTCAATTTATTTGGTGCATTTCATTCTTACAAAGGACATCAGCACGCTCGCGTGCGACAAAGAGAGAGAAGAGAACAAGGGAAAGCACGACGTGTGCACTAGCCAATGGCATAGGGTTAAACACTGCGATATTGTGAGAGGCCAAGGGGGGGGTCATGCCAGAGGGGCTGTGAAACAATTGAGGCGTGCAGCCACGGCAAGGTGATCCGAGGCATAATTGGGAGCCGGCAAGGCACGAGGGATATCAGCATCTGCAGGCACATCGAGAAAGGCCTCCACCGCTACCTGGGCACCAGGACCGTTGAGAACATAGATGTAATCAATTTTTTCGCGCTTCTCCTTGGGTTGGGTCAGAGGGGCTGTGCCCGGGGGTGGAGCTGTACCCGGCTCCGTAGGCGTGTCGCGAAACTTCCACGTGGTCCAGGGCATGTCTTCGACAGCACAAAGAAAGCCGCGCTCGCGCCATGGGGCATGGCAATCCTCTGTTGGCTCGCAGTTGAAGTCACCCATGACAATGGTGGCCTGGACCTCGGACTCGGCAGCGGCAGCAGCGGCATCAAGTTGTGTCAGCAGCATTTGTGTATCTTGACGACGCAACGCCGTGTTGCTGTCACCTTTGCCCGCCTTGAAGTGGGTCATGGCAACGCGAAACAAGAAGGCGGGACTCGAGGTCATTGCCGGGGTTGAGCTTTTATTGATGGTTGACTCAGCGGTGAGGCCGGCTCGTACGAGCGCGCTGATAGCCACTGGGCGCATGGCATTGCGAAGGGGCTCTCCGATGAGCTCAAGACCCGCGGCGGTCCGGACAAAGAGCGCCACGCCGTCGGGCTGGGCGCCAAACCGAGCAGCAGGGCCGTGCGATTTGGGCTGGAAAACGCCGTGATAACCGCGTCGTGCCAGCTCGGGAGCCCAAAATTCTGTAAAGTTGTTACACTCGGCCAGCCCAAGAACGTCGGGTGCTATACGATCAATCTCTTGGAGCAGGAGGTCCTTGCGACGCTCAAAGGTGACGGTGGCTGGATCGATGTAGGACCACTGGCCGTTCACGTCCAATCCGTCGGCAAGCACATTAAAGGCGGCCACCGTCAGGCGTAGCTGCTGGGTATGTAAAGGAGTCTCCGCAGGGCCAAGATTGATGACTGACTGCCATTGTCGTTCCACCACAGACACACCCTTGTCCCCACCCGTAACTGGGCTCGAGGACGCGGATGGCTCCGGCTCGGCTCTAAGACTGTCGTTCATCCTTTTGACACCAAACAATCCGCATCCACGATACAGCCCACAGCCACAAAACCCCAAGCTCTCAACAAAACGCCCACCTCCGAGTCAGGTCCACCAGTCAACCCAGCCCGCCACCAACGGCAAGCCCTCTCCAGCAGCCTTGAGCCTCTGCAACCCCCTCCACGCCCTCCGTCCGCGCGCGCGTGTGTGTGTGTGTGTGTGTGTGTGTGTGTGTGAGTGTGTGTGTTGTGTGTGCTTTCATTATGGAGCCCTAAGCGATAGTGTGATATAAGTCACAGTTTTGTTCATAGCTTTGCTGACATTTGGTTTTATAGTGTGTTAGAAACTACAGTTTTCTTGAGACATTTTGTCAGACATATTCGAATCTCTCTCTCTCTGTGAGCGGATGCGAATGTCGGGCGGTGGCGGTGGCGGTGGCGGTGGCGGTGGCGATGGAGCTCGGGGTGTTTGACTCACCGGGGTTATGTGTGGTGTGGCAGGGAGTTGTGTTGTTGGAAAGTCAACGTCGGTGTGTGGGGGACAAGCGGCTACTTGGTCGGTTCCCATTGAGCTGTCGCTTGCTTGCCAAGACATGGCTGCTTCATCAACCGTCGCCAAGCGGGCCAAAACCGTCGGTGCGCTCAAGTCTGTACACGGGGGTGTTGTTTTGACTGCACAGCGCGCTGTGTATTTGGCTCATTCATCCGTTGGGCTGCACAACCGCCTTTTCCTTTGATCTTTGGCTGAGGACCAGGGCCCGTAGTTAGCATTACCCGAGTTGAGGCCTTTAGCTCTGCCCACCGCTTGTGGAGGTGAGACCCAATGCCGAGTTGGTGCTTCTTGGTGCACCCACCGTCCTCAAACTGAGGCACGTTGCCTGTATCTGATTCTGTTGACCGCCTTTTCACCCGCTTTGGCAGTTCTGAGCTGTCCGCCGAGGAGAACGCCAACGTATTTGGCAAATGCACCAACAAGCATGGCCACAACTACAAAGGTCAGTACTCATTTCGTCTCGGGTTTGCCCGGTGCTACTGCAACTCCGACCCAATTGCCAACGACAGTGCTCACTCGTCTCACTCCACCCAATGGCTTACTGGGGGTCTCACGGCCAAATGCCTGCAGTTGAGGTCACCATCCGAGGTCCCGTGGACCCGATAACGGGCATGGTCATGAATCTCGTCGACCTCAAAAAGTACATGCATGTGAGTTTTGACACACCGTGTACCAGCCATCCTTGTTTGCTGTGCCCTGCTGGCCTTTTCTCCTTCTCCCTGTCTACCTGTCTGCTTGTGTGCCTTCCCCGCTTTTTTCTTTCTTTCTTTCTTCTGCTTGCTCGGTCCCTGGCTGTGGGTGGGCATAATCTGAAGTCTTTCTGCCTTAGCGCGCTGTTATGGACACCATGGACCACAAAGATCTGGACGAGGATGTAGAATACTTCAAGACACGACCCAGGTGAGGCCATATATTTTTGTTTTGACTGCGGCATTCAGTACCGCTTTTTGCGCTTGCCTGCTCGTGGCTGACAATGGACATTGCATCTCCACCAACACAGCACGGCAGAGAACGTGGCCGTGTTCATTTGGGAGCAGATGGTGGCTCAACTGCCCGACTCCAGTCTGCTCCATGAGGTCAAGCTCTACGAGACCCCGAAGAACATTGTGCTCTACCACGGTCAATAATGCAAGTCATCCACCGGGATCCCCTCACACATAAAACCACAACGTTCAGAATGACCCTATCGACAAATCGACATGTAAAGAAGATATCAAAATGACTTTGCCCACCCCACCACCACGCCCTTGCCAAGCAACAAGCGAAGAAAAAAAAAAGTTTGCCCGCTTCGGCTGGCATGTAAAAGAGATATCATGACCTATAACAAGAGTTATTGCAGTTTTACTAATGTCATCATAGTAACTTGATGCACCTTTTATCAAGTTGCTGTCGGTCTCATTTTAATCTGACATTGCTGCTTTTCGTCAAGGTTTGAAAAAAGGAACAACCCGGCGATGGAATGGCAGCCAGGGGGGGAGGTGGGCAACCGGGGGAAAGCAGAGACACGGTGGTCGGTGAGCGGCTGGCAACGGGGGCAGCGGGTTGGATAATGAATGTTATCGTATGATTGTGTTCATGGGTGACGCTGAAAGAGAGCGAGAGAGAGTGAGAACGTGCAAGTGTGTGATCTCTGAAATCGCCCGCGTGCGCGTGACATGGCTCGCTTTGCTCTGGTATCGTTTCCCTCTCTCGTGTCTGGTGTGCCTCTGCCGCTGCCGAGGCTTGGTGTGTGTCTTGTGCAGCCCGCTCGTCGTGTCGAGTTGTTGGGAAAGGTGTTTTCAATTCGCACGTGTCGATATCGAGGCATTTGTGGCTGTGTGGCGTTGCCATTTGCGTTGTCAGGCAGTTTGCTGCCTCGGAGCCACCAGTTGACCTCGTCTGCTTTTGGCATCCCGCTGACCCTACCCCTTGATGTGAGCCCCATCTCTCCGAGTGCATGATCTCACAGCTGCTGCATGACCGATTTGGCCTTGGGCCCTTTTGTAGCTCCGGAAACGCGCCTGCCGTTGGCCGCTGCCCCTCGCTGCTGTGCCGAGCCTGAGTACCGCCTGCTTTCCTCCTGTGCCTTGTGTACAACGGTTATGCAGGAGTTTTGGCCCTCCCCATCGCCCTCACCACAACCCATATCCCTACCGTCTCTGACCGTCCAACCATGGCTCAAAGCCTCGAGACTCGCCCTCTGCTGGCCCCGCACCGCTCAGAGGTGATCAACTTTAGCCTCCTGCTCAAGCGGGAGGTCCGCGCCGTGGGCCGTCTCATGCCTTCCATCTCGGCCACGACCGTCTGCCGTCTCCTCGTCTTTTCCGTCGATGCTTCCTTCCTGGGCCATCTTGGCACCAAGGAGCTGGCTGGCGCCTCGCTGGCTCAGGTCATCATGATGATTGCCATGGTCTTCATTTACGGTGCCGCCAGCAACCTCAGCAGCCTTGGTTCCCAAGCCTTGGGCGCCAACAACCCCAGCTTGGTCGGCATTTGGTTCCAAGTGGCCGTAGTCTGCCTTTTAATTTTATGCATTCCCGTCGTCATCCTCTTTGTGTATACCGAACAGGTGACCGCCTCTTGTCTCTGCGCTCTCAGTCAGCCCCACGCCCGCTCGTCAGACCATCGTGCCTCGCTATCATGGCCTAATTCAGGTCGCCTGTAAATGGTTGATGCATCTTGATGGCTAGCTTGTTGGCATGATTGAGAAGGATGCCGAAGTTTTACATTACGTCCGAGAGTATTCAATGTACGTTCTTCCTTTGCCGCCGTGGCCTTCAACCGGAGCCCGCCGCCTCTGCTCAGCACTCGCCAGCACTCCTCAACGCGGTATCATTGCAATTCCTGCCTCCATGACAGCATGTCCATCTTAACCATTATCCCAATGACTCTTTTCGCATGTGTCCGTCAATATTTTCAAGTAAGCCCTTTCGACTGACAAGCTTCCTCCCATGAGCGCACATTCACTTCTGGGTCAACTTGTGCCACAGGTGCAAGGCTTTGTTTTGCCTGCAACCGTGGTGTCCTTGCTGGCCTTGGGCGTGAATTTTGGATTCAATCAGGTACGGTTGTGATCCACAAGCCCCAACCGTCGAGATGTCCGAATCTCACATCGACGACTTTGTCCCGCCTTACCTTCTACCGTGGCGCTCCGTCTGCAGTTGTTCATTTACGGCGTTGGCGATTGGGAGGGATTCGGGTTCAAAGGAAGCCCCATGGCCACAGCCGCCACGGCCACTTTTCAGCTTGTTGCTTATTGCATTTACATGTCAGTGTGACTCCCTTCGACCCGATTCGCTGATGGTATTGCTGCGGCATTTTCTGACCGACTGCATTGGGCATGCGCCGCAAATAGGTTTGGCGTTCGCAAGTATCACAAAGCCACCTGGCCCGGCTTGCACTTGAGCAACTTTTCTTGGGATCGCATGACTCTCTTTCTTCGGGTTCGATAATCCTCTACACATGCTTCATTTGCTTTTTGATGGATGGGAGGTGTTTCTGGGGTGGTGGAGCTTGATCTTGACACTGTCGTGGTTAAGCCACCAATGTAGCAGCTGCCTCACTCCTTGTACTTGAACTCGTAGGAGAGCGGCTTTTGCGGCCTGGCGCTACTATTTGACGAGTCAGCTTTTCAGGTTTGTGAAGCGACCTATTTGAGGCGTCGTGATGAGCCCTGTGTATTGAGGCTCACGTGCCCTTACCTTGCCCCGTGCGTGACTGACAGTCGCTCGTGCTAATGGCCGGAAGCTTTACGGAAACCGACGTGGCGGCGCAAGGCGCCATGTTCCAGATCTTCAACCTGGGCTGGGCCATGGTGCGTTCACGTAGAGAGGCGAAGCGACAGGAGGTACAGCGCGGCGGTCTGGGTTTGCATTTTCCCTCATTTAAAGCATTGGGCCGCCCTCTGCTTTCGTTCCCGGTTTTGAACAAATGGTCTAGTGGTGGGGCATTGGATTAGCAACGCAGATTCGGATTGGAGAAAATCTGGGTGCCAACCGACCTCGCCGTGTACGTTGGGCAGCGTCATTATTCGTGCGCGCCTATATGGCCTTGTGTTAAACGCTGACCGGGACCTGGCACCATGTGTAGGCACAAGCGGCAGCCTGTGCGGGCATGCTGGCTTCGGTAGTGCTTGTGGTTGTACTGGGCATCCTGATTATTGTACTGCGCGATTATCTGGCCATGCCTTTTAGCAAGTGGGTACCACGCATCATTGGTGCAAGCGATATCATCGTGCTTCGTCCACTCACAGTTCGCCGTGCCATGTAGAGACGAGGCCGTAATTGCGCTAACAGCCAAGATTGCGCCATACAGCGTTGCTGCGTACGCTGCGTGTGAGTGTGTGATCACGCATCTGCCTCACTGATTGACCTTGCCCCTGGTATCTTGTCATACTCATCGGCCGCCACACATGTAGACGTTTTCACGGCCACCTTGGGCAGTTTGATGGAAGGTGCGCTGGTGTGCCGGGCTCTTCTCCGCCTTTGACCTGTCATTGTCGACAGCTCGGCATTTGGCCTCGTTTTTGCTTTGTTTTTCTGTTCCTTCTCTTCTACGTTTGACATGCCCACTCATTCCGTGCTGCTGGGCCCGCAAACTTGATTGCTGTAGGAATGAGCCGCATGATGCTGTTGTCCGCAATCATGCTGGTCTTTGCCTACGGTGCCATGATTCCAGCATGTTACGAGCTGGCCTACGTTCATCACATGAAATTGCCGGGCCTGTGGTTGGGCTGTATTGCTGGAGACGCACTGAAGCTCATCACCATGGTCGTCATTGTGCTGTTCTTCACCAACTGGCGACGGGAAGCACACAAGGCGCGCGATCGATCAGAGGCTCTCGATGACGACAGTGGTATTGTTCGGCACGAGGATGCTCCTGCGAGCCATGTCTCAGTTCAGGCGCGCCAAGCCGATGAAGATGTCGAACAGGATGTGTTTGATGTTGACATTGCCACCAACGCCTAACCAAGTATAGCCGGGAAGCCGCCTGCGTAGCTCACGAGGCCATGCGGCCATGGGCTCGGCATTCATTCTCCATTGACGGAGATTCGTGTGGCTTGTCCGACGCTCGACGAGCAGTGGTTGGTGTGGTGTGACGGGGGATAGCACCCATGTCTTTCTTCATGTCAAAAGTCGGTTGGCATGATGTTCACTTAGAAAATAATTGAAAGAAGCGACTTTAAAACGAACTGGGGTACCAGCACAGAGCAATCGATGCCAAGGTTAAAATCGATCAAGCAACTCGAGTTGGCCCCGATGCCAACAGACCACAGAGAGTCAGTCAGGTCACCCACACATACACCACACACACACACACACACACACACACACACACACACTGACAAGTAGGTGCGTCATGTTTTGGGACACAAAAAAATTAGGACGAACTCCATGTCCGCAAAGCTCTCTCTGAGAAGTGATAAGAAACGCCCATCATCTCTCAAACGATAGATAAAACAGCTTTCTTTCTCCGATTGATCCGTTGTAAAAACACGAGATCTCTGAAACTTATTTGCACCTAAACTCTCTCTCTCTCAGCGTGGAGAGGACCATGAAAGTGTGTGTGTGTGTAGGAACCGATCAGACCTACTTGACAACGAGCTCGTGTGAGCCCTTACCTGGTTGGACGGGTTTGGGATCGTCATCGCTCGCCGCGGATTCGAGTTACGTCAGGCTTTGGCGGCTCTGCACTCGGCATTCATTTTTTTTTTCTGCAAGCAGCCTAGCTGGTGGTGCCAAGGGGCGTTGCCGGCATCATGAGCCTCACTGTCTTGCCCCGCTGCCATTTCTGGGCGCGCCTGGTTGGCATGTTCGGGCTTTTTATCGTCGCTTCGGGTGGTACGCATGGTCTTGCCATGCAACCTCGCTGCTATGCAACCTGAAGAGCCTGGTTCATGTTGCACATCGGGTTGCACCCACGCTCAACCCGCCCGCGCTGGTGTCTTGCCCGCACTCCTCTTGCTGCCTCATAGCCGCGCAAGCAAATTTTAGCCCCAACAGCGACGACGCCCGCTGCAGTGGAAGCAATGTTAATCGCTGTCCGCGCGGGCCGCAGCGCGAACGCCCCGACCTCTCAACCACCATGTCGGCCGAAACCATTGCCAACCTCAACCGCACGTTTATCCGTCCCTACGAAGGTCTGTCGCCCTCGATGTTTGTTTGTTTTTTGAACACCTCTTCTGCCTCGTTGACCTACCGACATCCGCTCGAACCCTCAGTCACGGAAATGTTTTTGGTCATCCAATGAGTCTTAGAAACAAGCGGTATCAAATCTTCCTTCATCATGACCTTTGGCATCATGACCGTGCGGGAGGACCCCTTCATCGATCTCAACGCGACCATTCCACCTGTACCCGTCTGTACGTTCCGGGTGGCTGGCAGCACTAGTGATGCCTTATGCATGTAAAATAGCGGCACACACGACGAGACGGTCACACACGTGCCGACTGCTATTTTTTGTCGGGTAGACGTTGACCTGGTCTTTACTGTTCCTTCCGCAATATCCGAAGCCTCTGGTACAAACAAGCCTCTGCCCAATGTCGCCTGCCTCAGCTGCCTTGGCTGCTATCCTCTGATCCTGGCGCGAGTCATGATCAGGTCGCTCCGTGCACACTCAAGTCATGACCCTGCCGTTACACCTAGGTACCATGGACTCGACACTCATTGTGAAGGAGTACTTTCAGCTCGAGGTGGCCGAGAGTCTCTACGGCTTTCAAGACAGCGATATCCAGCAGCCGGTTAGCTCGATGCCACTGGTCGATCAATGCTGGCAATTCTCCCTAACGCGCGCATCAATGACTCTGCTCGCTGGTGCAGCCCTGTGACTGCTTTCAACATGGCCCATTATTCGGAGGCAACTGTTCTTGCGAATTGGATAATTGGGACATTCAGGCCTCCTTTGATAACCTCAAGAGTCGCGAAGACTTGGCCACCTCCACAGTGCGTCGCCACCGCTGGCGACATTGGCATGTCACTCTTTTATGGTCGTGACTCCTCTCCTCAAAAGCGACGGCCTCACAGCTGGTATATTGCGTGCGGTCTTATTTAGACGGCGTTTGTGGACTGCACATCAGGATGGTGTGGGGACCTGATTCCTGATGGCTATTTTCAGAAGCGAACATCCTTTTTCCGAGGCACCTTTGCGCAGGTGTACGACTTGCAGCTTTTTCCTTTCGATGCCCAGGTTTGCCGCCGTTGCTGCCGATTTGGGGTGCTTTGAGTCTTCGTCCATGCCCACCACATGGGTGCGGTCATAGGGCAGCCTTCAAACATCCTTCCATCCAGGCACGTGGCTACGCTGTGCCTAATGTCGTCCAATGATACCTCAGGAATTTTGGATCAATTTCACACTCGATGTACCATACGGTATCATTACAATGCCAGTCAAGACGTCGCGCTACGATTTTGACGTGACAAAAGCCGGTGTGTCCGCAGCGGCCTTCCATTGCTCTTCTGCTGCAGAGTTCCTCGGAGCGTGTCGCGTACAATAAGTCACTTGTTGGACCTGGGGCAGGTTTCACGTTCACTCAGATTGATTGCGTGGGCAAAAACATATCTGGCCTGGTTTATGGAGGTGGCTGCCGCTTCAAGGCACGGCGTCTCTATAGTCCCATGACCATGAATCTTATCGTCCCAAGGTTGGCACCGCGAACGTGTTGCGGTAGGCTTGAGCCGAGCTGTGTCATTCTCATGTCTGTCTCCATGTGGTGGCTTGGCTTGGCAGCGCGTTATTTGTGGCCATTGGCTTCTTCTCCTTGGTAGTCAACCCAGCCAAGACCATGATGATGCGAGCGTCCATGACCATGCTTGCCCTGGTCGTACAGACTCAGGTTTGTGACGATGAGGGAGTGGCCACCAAATTGAACTCTTTGCGAGAATGTGAAGACTCATGTGCACGGGCGTGATGTCGAGGGCAGCTTCGACGCCAAATTCTGTCAGCGCTCCCGCCATCGGAGGTACGCACCTCGCAAATGCGCGCATCAGCGAAGGGTTGCTGGCGACGTACATCGATAGCCTGGTTTGATGAGGCAATCCTTATGGGTTTTGTGCTATAGGATTTGGTGTGGATCGACATGTATCTCTTTGTGTGCATCCTGGTGATCTCCATGGTCATGATGAGTCATGCCATCAGTGACGCCATGGTTCGGCACGACTTGTTGGTGATGCAGGTAAAAAAAAATGTGGGCCTTGTCCTCTTTTCCCACTCTTTCCACTGCTTGGCCTCTGGGAATTGGCTCATCGGCTTTATTTTGTATTGCTCTTGGTGGATCCCTTTGACATGGCGGCTCATAGCGACGGTTTGATAGCCTCGTTCTTCGGGTGTTGCCCACGTGCCTGGTGTTGCTGATCATCATCATCTCACTTGCCGTGACAACGAGCCAGTCTGTGTGGGTACCTGTCACCGTTGGTAAGAGGCCTTTGATTGTACCCCTCGACCAAGCTGCGTCTGCGTGAAGAGAGAGGGCATCTGGCACGCGAACAGGGCCCGGAATCACGTTGAAGATGTTCATGGCGCTTGATCGGCATGGCTTAATAGTTTTGGTCATGACGTTGCTGGCTGTGGCTGTGGCCAGCTTTGCGCACCAGTGGTTCAAGGCGCATCGTGAAGAGGCTCTCAAGGTTTGAGCAGTCGTGTGGAGCGCATGTGATGGCAACAGAGCGCATAAACCTCAGGCGTCACTAGCCCTTCGCCTCCTCATCAAAGCAATTTTGCACTGAGATAGGCGGAATACAGCGTTGAGAACAAACGGGTGGCCGAAAGCATGGCTGAAACCCGATGGCTTCGGGTGGGTCAGGTCATGGACCGCGTCATGTCACGCCGGTACGTCCCTGGGGCTCTGCCGCCATCCCAATTGCCGTTGCCAGGGCTTTGTGTAACCACTCACTCTGCTGCGAGCTACAGGCGCACATCACGACGGACAGGACCGACCAACAATGAGGAGCTGGGAGACGTCATTGCCGTCACTTCCTTTGCCAACAGCCCAAATCACAAGGACATCAAGTCCTGATAGTCAGAAAGCGCAAGGCAACCTCCTCGGCTTGGGAAGGGACCCTCATGGGTCACTAGAGCACTCCCCCGCCTTCTCTTTCTGAATGATAACGAACATGTACTCGGGCCACCTATCGGCTCGCTCTCGAGCTGAAAGGACACGGTGGCCATATCTCACCCGGGCGCCAACGCCCGTTTTGAATGAATCGATCTTATCATTGTGTCCATGATGCTCTGCTTCACCCCCATACCAGGTGCTCGTCAACCATAAAAGAACCTTGATTCGTTTCAATCAATGGGTCACAACAAACGCCGAGAGGCGCATATCTGGGTGCTTGACCGACCTGCTTGCGCGATCCAGACCTGGCCGAAACGCGTGCTGGAAGTCGTCGGGTAGACAAACGCCCAACAGGGCAACAGGCTTCCCACGCCCCATAAGACTGAGAGCATGACGAAACGGAAATGTGTGTGTGTGTGTGTGTGTGTGTGTGTGTGTGTGTTTTCCTCTCTCTCTCTCTCTCTCTCTCTCTCTCTCTCTCTCTCTCTCTCTCTCTCTCTCTCTCTCTCTCTCTCTCTCTCTCTCTCTCTCTCTCTCTCTCTCTCTCTCTCCTCTCTCTGTTTCTCTCTCTCTCTCTCTGTTGCGCAGATCGATCGCGGAGCGAGCTGAGTGACGCGTTACCTCGGGCTTCTTGGCTTCCATGCGCTTTTTCGCGCTTGGGCCTTCTTGCTGAACGTGAGCGGTGAGACGTTGCTACTGGAGGGGTGAGGGAGGTTGGTGAGGAGTCGCAGGTCTGCATCTTGGTCAGATCAAGTGTACACGCACATCACATCACACCTCATGTCGCGGGGTAGCTTCCCGCCAGGACGCTGGACGATCAGCAGGATGAGGCTTCGCCAAGCAGCCACGACGTTGAGGCTGGCGATTTTTTTGCTTGCTGTGTTCCTCACCTCGGCCACCACCACTGAGGATGCCGTGCCCACGTTAACGGTGGCCGAGGGCCAGATGCAAGTCGCGACCACCCGCGGCTTTGTTGTGGATGGCTGGGACATTGTGGCCACCCTATCCCAAATGCTGGCCGATGCCACCGCACTCAACGCTTCTGTCACCGCTCAAGAGCTCGCCACAGCCAGCCGTCTTGAACGTCTGGAAACGCGCATCGAGGCCCAAACTGCCAACATCTCTTCCCTGCACATGCTCGCCACCAGCCTCCAAGCTAACCTGACCGCCGCTGCCGAGCGCGAGGCGCAGCTTGAGGCCAAGGTTCAAAGCCTCACAGAGCAGCTGGCAACCGCACTGAATCACCAAGCCCTGCTGCAAGAGCGCATTGTCAATCTCACCAACGGCACGGACTTACGCCTGGCCACTCTGGAGCAAGACATGGATGCCACGCAAGCGCGCATTGTCAATCTCACCAACGGCACGGACCTACGCCTGGCTACTCTGGAGCAAGAAGTGGATGCCGCCGCTGGCACTGCTGCCGGCGCTCTTTACAACATATCTTTCCTGCAGGAAACCATCAAGACATTTGATGGCGAGCTAGAGCGCATCGATGAAGCCTTGGAGCAGGTCGAGGCTGGTGCAAACATTGAGGAGGTTTTCATAGACGCAGGCAGCGGCTACGCCCAGCTTTATGACAATGACACCTGGCATGCGATGCAGCTGAGCGTGGCACTGCCCACGAGTCCAGCCGTCACGGTTTGGCGCAATCGCCTCGTTGCTGCAGGAGGGTCTGGATCAAGCGCCGTCTTTGCCATCTCCGCCACGGGCTTTGTGTCCCGGCTTCTGAGTCTACCCATTATCATCACCGGCGCTGCTGCTGCCACCTTCCAAGGTACGCCTTCACTGCAGGGCTGAGCATAGCATATAAACTGCATGTTGGCACTCCAATCTTCTCAGCCAAGGGGCCTTGACCAACAACAACCCTCCTTCCCCCTTTGCCTTGTTTTTCTGTGTACCCTTTTATATCCGAGCCGCCTTGACCGAGATCTTTGAGCGACGCCACTCATGACCGGAATTCACGTGTAATTACTTGACAGACAAGATCTATGTCGTGGGGGGTGGCCCTCACAATGACAATGGCCAGAACCGACTGCGCAGTGTCTATATTTATGATGGTGTTTCTTGGACGGCTGGCCCGCCCCTCAACGGCCCCGGCCGCTCGGGTCTCTCGTGTGCTACGTTTCAAGGTTGGCCTTTGTCACCACCATTTGACAGAGCACTGCCAGGCAAAGCGCTCCCTGTGCTGTTGATTATCATCAAGCCCCCTGCCACCCGCACGACAGTCCTGCCTTGACCTCTGACCCTCACTTTTTTTTTCACCTTTTTTTCCACCCGATCTCAGATGAGCTTGTGTGTGTGGGTGGCTTCTACTACATCAATGACAACGTACGCTGGGGCTCTGTGAGCACAGTTGAGATTTTCAACGGCGTGTCCTGGCGGTATGGCCAAAACTTGCCGCGGCCGGCCGCCAGCATAGGCCTTGTGGCCTACCAGAACTCCCTTTACATCTTTGGTTGGTGGTTGCTTCAGTTGGCGTGACACCCAAGGTGATCTCTGCGGCTGTCTATCGCACATACGGCTCACGGGCGCTGGCCTCTGCGAATGCATCCCCAGGGGGCCTGGACCATGAGAACAGCTATTCCTATTTCGACAGTATTCTGAGGATGGATGACCTGAACAGTGGGTGGACGCAGCTCGCGCTCACGCTGTCCACTCCACGCGCCATCAATTCGGCAGCGGTCTTTGGAGGTGAAGTGTACTTGGTGGGTGGCGCTAACGGTCCCTCTGACAACACCGGTCTTCTGAGAATTGTGGAGAGCTTCAATGGCACGGCCCTCACGCCCCGCCCAGACCTCATTTACGCCACCTTTCTCAACGAAGGCGGCGTCCTCAAAACAGCAGTCTTTGCTTAATTGTAGTACCCGAAGAATGACTCGCCCCTCATACCATGCACCGTCTTGGCTTTCGTAGCATAGCCACCATCCAATTGAGTTGACCTTATTGAAGCCATCCTACACCCCCCATATGCTCCTCAGGTCTAGGTTGTTGTTAGCAGTTGTAGTTGTACATCCATGGATGTATACAAGAAAAAGCACACCACCTCATGTTTTTAAATTGTAAATTTTTTATTTTAGAGAGGGAGGGAAAGATTTTGGGGTCGAGACGAGCTCAATGAGCTCAATGGCGGCGGTGGTGGTGAGCGGGGGCGATTAGGGCAGTCTCGCTTCTCGGGCTGTGAGAGCTCGCAGTACGTGTGTTGTGGGCGGTTGGTGTGGTTTGCTTGTGACTCGGTATCATGGCAGAGACGACGGTGGTGGCCAACGGCACGCTGGCGTACAACGGTTCGTGCTGATGAGCTGCAAGGCCGGCACGAAACGCCCGCACCACCGATGTACCTCATGGTGTGTCGATCGGGCTCTCTGGATGTGTGTGCCCGTCTTGTGTGGGCCTGTCTTTCGATGCAGATTCAGCCGACCTTTCACCCATGCACGCGATTCAAGCCACCAACTGGACAGCCGTCGTTGCTACCATCCAGGACCCCAGCAACCGCGGCTACCTCGTTGGCAGTTGCATGACGGCCGCACTCATCCTCGCCTTCTTTGGCTACCGCCTCATTCGAATCTGTACGTACGCATCGATCCAGGCAATGGCTTTGCCAACGACGCTAGCCACCATGCCTGTTCTGTTTTTACTGTATGCGGTGCTCCGATGGTCCACATCGATTGCCGCGTTGCTCACGGTTCTCGCCGCGCCACCGATATAGGGCTCTTCATCGGCGGCTTCGCCTGTGTGGCAGCCTCTTTCTACATATGGTCACCAACGGTGCTAGCCATGCCTCAATGCTGTGGTCCTGGCACTGAGCAAAGTAAGGTGGTCGCCTCTCCTTTCCCTGTATGTGCCTCGCACATAGGGGCATGGTTACTGACGCCACTGTCGGCTGCGCGCTGCCTTTGGTTGGTCCTGCAGCCAAGCTCGAGCTGAGCCTCTGCCTGGGACTCTTGGCGGGCACTCTGGCTCTCATGGTCTTGCGCCTGGGGGTGTTCTTGACCGGCGCCTGCTGCGGGTTTGGCCTCGCCCTTGCCGGGCGGTTTGCATTTGGTGCGTGTGAGATGTGATTTCGGCTTCCCCTGCCACCCGCGGTATTGCCGAGCGCTTGCAACCCGTCATAGTTTATCGATAGCAAACGCTGCTCTTCTTTTCTCCCCGCCGCGCTCATGATACAATCTGTGACCGTTTGTTCCCTGCAGGCCACCTCCACATGTTCAGTGACAACAGCAACTTTGCCGTTATTTATCTGACCGCCTCGGTCCTGGCCGGCCTACTGGCCCTGTACATTGAAAAACCCATCATCGTGGGCAGCACGGCTTTGATGGGCTCGTTTGGCTTTTGCTGTGGTAAGGCTCGCTTCCTGGTCTAACCCAGAATGAGAGGGGAGCCTTTGTCCCACAACCACCCGCTACATGCGGGATGCCCACTTTTTCTCCTTTGACTCTGCTCTCAATGTGATGCGTCACAAACAGGGTTGGGCTATTTCGAACACTGCAACTTTCTAAAAGTAGCCATCGTGCTCGAAGAGGATATTTTGGCCCCCTTGGAGGCTTCGCATGACACCATACCTGCATGCGACAACCTTCTCGTGGGCCTGTGGCTTTTCTTGGCACTTTGCAGCATGGTCGTGCAGTATCGCAATGCAAGCTTTTGCGACAACTCGGCTCTTCCAGAGCGTTCGACAGCAGATTTGCGCCGTGATCGCCAAGGCTATCGTCCAACAGAAATTGTCTACGTCAAGAAACACCGCTCACGCGACCGCAACCGAGATCGCGACCGGGATTCGGTGCGCTCCCACTACAGCGGGCGCCAGAGTGGTAGGCATCGGGCTGACGCCCACGTTCATGCTTCGCATCATCGCAAGACTGGCCGCTCGGTTCGAGCGCGCACGTGGCGTCGCGAACAAAGGTCAGCCTTTGCGCCTGCCGCGGCAGTTGCAGATCCCATTGACTTTGCGCCAGCTCTTGCTTCCGAGAAATGAGGATCACAGCTGATTTTATTCCACGCCGCTCTGTATAGACTGCGTGCGCGTGAGCAGCCACTGTTGTCAAGCGACTCGGGATCGGAGACGTATTCCGACCATGCAATGCAACAGGTGTAAGCATTGAAATGCCGACACGAGAAATGAAAATCGGTTGCATCCAAAAAAACTTCGATTGCACTGGACCAAGGAGCGGCACCATAGCCAACTGGGTGGCTTAATATTGGAGATAACATGTAGATTGTGCTTGTCGTCATGTACAAAACATTTGGGTGCTGAGCAGCCATGAAATCACACACTCGAACGGTGACACGCTCAGAAAAATTGAGCCGTTACTGACGTTCAACGTATGATGAGCAATGGCTTTCGAGATTCTCACTCAAGCAAGTTGTGACCGAGTCTCGAGGTTATGGCCCAGGTTGCAGTAACTCAAGACAACACTGAAACGGCAACACCTGCCGCAGGCAGGCAGCAAACGCGTCTGTAATGGGAGCGTACACAAAGCACTCAGGCATCAATTTTATCAGGTGACGAGGGGCGCGACCAGCGAATCCGCCCTGTGCCATCGACCGGAACACAAAGGCAGGTATGCATGGCGTGAGTTCCACGACTTTGTTTGAAACTTTTGAAAAGCGCTGGCCGGCATGACAACTTGACAACGCACCGGTGGTATCCGAGACGAAACAGTGACGACCCATCTCAGCAGACCAGGTCATGGTCCAATCGCCTGGGGCAAGCTCACGTTCGACTGCGGTCAGGTAGGCGTCATACTCGAGCAGATGGCGTTGAATGTACTCGAGCGACAGCTCGCCCGCTACAAAGTCCTCGAGTCGTGTGGCCATGGCCACGCTCCGTCGCACATGCTCAGGGACATCAGCATCACTGGGATGTAAGAGCATTGTCACAACAAGGCGCATTGATGAGGTGAGCTTTTGCCTGCCACTCAGACTCGAGCCCAGGGGTCATGCCGAAAGATTTGAGTCTGACGATTCTCGGCGCATGCATACCTGGTGCCAAGGACATTGGCACGCAGCACCAGATCGTCAAAGCGTTTGCGGCATTGTTTCCGAGCCAGTGCTTTGCGCTTCAGCTCTGCCACACGGTCAGCCTTGAGCCCTGCTGCAGCTCGGCCTGAAGTATTATCTGCACTCTCTGGTGGTGGTGGGCTGGGCTCCGGTCGCGGGGGTGACGGAGGCACCCACAGGCTGCTCAGGTCATCCTACATCGTGGGGCGGGGGCAGGGGGAGTTGAGCCTGAAGTAGCGGCAGCGGTAGCTTGATCCAAGGTATGGTGCGACCCAAGTGCTCCAGACATGCAAGAATCCTGACCAAGCTGGCATCGCTTGCAGACTCCGAGTCTGGTGTTTGGGCTCGACAGCTCTGAAAAAACTGCACAGCGGCCGTCCAGGGGGCTTGGTGCTAAGTTTGGAAAGAAGAGGCAACCAAGGACAAAAAAAAAAATCAAAAAGCAGATGAAATGATGGTCAATGCGAGGGCAAATTCCACAAGGGCAGGCGTGCTGCACGCAGGGCAGACCTACCAGAGGGTAGGCTGCAATGATATCTTCAGTTGACATGTTGGGGTCTAATGTCACTGATTGGGGCTCGTCTGTGGCCGCCTCTTGGGGTTCGGGGGACGGAGCAACGTCTTGCACTTCTGGCTCGGCATCCATCAAAGTCTCAGACTTTGTATCATGGTCCGCCTCCACCTCGGACTGATTTGAGGCAACCGACTGGACATGCAGAGCGTGCGGGCGTGAGTTTGCTCGTGTTCAACGCGTGCTGCTTGTGTTGGGACAGAAACAAGTGAGGTGACGGGAAGAAACGACGAGCAAAGATGCAAAAAGGACCTACATCCTGTGCTGGCGCGGCCGTGGTTTTGGCAGCAATTGCCACAGACTCTGTGCTGGCTTGAGCAGGCCCTTGCGACGTAAGGGGGGCGGTGGTGTTCTGGTCGAGGTCATTGCCATCGTCCTCGCTTTCACTGCTATAGTTGAAAGTCAACAAGCCAGATCGGCCAGCCATGCTCGAGGTCTTGCGGCTCAAGCCAAACAGTGCTCCACCGCAAAGCCTGTCATTAGCAGTCTGGTAAGTGAGCGCCACTCGAGCACCGTGTGACTGCAGCCTGGTACTGAGCTTCACAACAAAGCGTCCTAGGAGCCCCGCCGCCGCCCACGATCTGAAATGATACTTTTCGGGTATCGAACCACAGCTTCCAAACGGACCGACCGGTTCACACAACACGGGAGATGCTCCGCCTCGAGGCTGTGCACCACTTTCACGTCCAGAGGGTCCACCCACCAACCGCGACCATACGCACCAACAACGACCAAGCTCTCAATAATACCGAACCCAATACCAATACGAATACGGATACAGATCTACGGATCCAGATCTACGGATACGGATTCGGAGACCGAGACCGAGAGAGCGAGAGAGCGAGAGAGCGAGAGAGAGAAAAGTTGTGCACGAGGTGTTGACAACAGAGCGTAAAAGTCTGACATTATTGACGTTGCCGCTGGATTTTATGCGCATATTATAGACTTGTTGTAGATTTCATGCAAAGCATAATGTTATTTCAAGTATTAAAAGGAGGTGCTTGTGGGCCCGAGAACTGGCCCTGTTATTTGTCCGTGTGTGTGTCGGTCCATTTGATAAATAGGTGTGTGGAACTGGTGTTGCCCGAGCAGAGGCGCAACTAGTGACCGTTACATACGGTGAGTGGCTGCTTGACGGGCGACGCGACGTGTTGGTGGCGACGGCGGAGCTTGGTCTGGCTTTGATTTCCCTGCCCCTGCCCCTGTCCCTGCCCTCGCCCCTGTCCCTGCCCCTGCCCCTGCCTACTTATGGTTGGGGTTATTTGTCCTCTGATTTGGTAACGGAGTTCTACCCGTCTCCTTCTCTCCTTCCCTACATCTCTCTTCCATCTCTCTCGCTGATCTCTTTCCTCTTTCCCTGTCCCCTCTCCCTCTCCCTCTCCCTTTGTGCTCGCTCTCCGTGTGTTGTCTGTGCCTGCAAAATGCCTCGGTATCCAAATGTCTCATTCGTTTTCGTGCTTGTTTCCGTTAGTTTGCCTGGCCAAAACTAGAAGATGGCGCAGGCGGGTGCCCGGCTTTTGGCCGAGGCCAACGGTATTGATGATGGTGACTTGAAAGACCCGGCGCTGCGCGTAAGCACAATTCCATCCAGCGCCACGGCCACACCCAACCCCTTTCTTCAGCTCACCCTTGCTCGTCTGGTCCTTTGATACTCCCTTTTTTCCTCTGCTCTTCCCCCCCTAGTCCCTCGACGGCTCCCTCCGCTGCCCCATTTGTCAAGGCTACTTTAATCACCCCGTCCTGCTGAAGACCTGCTCTCACAATTGTCAGTCCCCAATGCGTCTGGGATAATCGGCACTCAAGGCCTCTGCCACATGACGCCCCATGTGCTCACGAGCCGCCATCGTGCACCTCTGCCTCTCCTGCAGTCTGTTCCGAGTGCATCCGTCGACACTTGACGCAGCAAACACGCAACTTCAAGAAACAGTGTCCCATCTGCAGCAAGGTAGCATCGTCCTTCAACGCTCGCCCTCGCAGCTTCATGGTGTTTGCTCTGTACGCTCACGCACACCTTGATGTGCCAACCTCCCTCAGGACTGTGGCATCTCGGACATGATTCCCAACATCGGATTGAGTCACGTACTCGAGATGTACCGCCGCGCCAAGTAAGAAGCACCTTTTTTTTTTGTTTGTTTGTTTAGTGAGGGGTTTGGGGTTGCATCTTTGGGGTTGCATCTTTCCTTCAACAAGGATGAGGCGCCATGCCTTGATGGTGTGCTTGTTGTACCTGCTGCAGACCACTGCTACTGCGCAAAGCCCAGGCTGGCGAGACAATGCCCCCTGCCACAGAGACTGGAAATGACGTCAACACCGCTGAAGGCGCGCTGCCCGTCCCCTCTTCGCCGCCCACAGTCGCATCTCCACAGGCGCAATCAAAGCGCTCGAAACGAAGCGCACGCTCTCAGGGGCCCAACGCCCAAGCTGAGCCTTCCGTGACCACACCCAGTAGCAAAAGGGCCAAAGCCCATGCCCCCAAAACCGTGCAGTGCCCCGTCTGCGAGGCCTTGGTCCCTGAGAAACTCATCAACCAACACCTCGACACAAATTGCGTCCTCATCACCGATCGCAAGGCCTCCCTGCGAAGCTCACCGGGCAACGGACCTCCCAGCTCTACCCCATCCAGCTCCGAAGCCCCCGTTGCTCCTCTACCCGCTACGATACAGCCTGCCATTGCCACACACGCTCCCCAGCCGCCGCCTGATTTGGCAAGCACAGCCACCGCTGGTGCTCAAGTAGCACAGAACGTGCCTCCTCCGCCTGCTACAGAGACAGCCTCAACCGGCCCTACCCCTGTTCAGGCTTTGGCCTGTGCTAGCACGTCGGTTTTGCGCACGCTTCATGCTCGACCGCCCTCTGCTGCTGCACTGTCGGGTGTGCACCTGCACCCGCGGCACTCACCTTTGACCTGCATTCTGCCTCCAGTGCCATTGCTTCTTCAAAGCGACCTCCAATGCCCAAAATGGTGTACGCCCTTCAAACCCCCAAGCAGCTTCGTTCCGTTCTCAAGGGCCTTGGGGTGCGTCAAACGCACCCTTGCAATATTGCTTCCCTGTTGCTGCAATGGCTCAACCACTTGCTCACCCGGATTCGCTTTCGCTCGCTCTATCCACACTATTTCTGCTTGTCATACTCCTCCCTTTGTCGTTATTTTGCAGTTGCCAATGGATGGTGGCAAGGCCGAACTGACCTGGCGTCACCAGGAATATTCATTGCTGTACAACGCACAGTGCGATGCACTCAACCCGTTGTCCAGTATGTCCGCCTCGACCGCGTCTGCACTTTTCTCGCGAGTGTTGCGCCGCTTCGACTTGGATTCATTCAACCGTCTCTTTGTGCTTCGACGATAGACAGCCAATTAGTCCAGGAGGTCATTCGGCGCGAACGCGAGCGCCGCCTAACCTCCACGCAGACAAAAGGCAAACAGGTCTGGTCTGATCGATGCATATGGTTTGCATTTGGCCATGCTTCCTAAATTGGTCTGTTTTGCTCAACTCGGCATGTTAGTTATTGGACTATACCGTCCGCGATGGGGCGCAAAAAATTGCCAAAGGACAATCTGGCTATGTTCGCACTCATGCAGCCCAATTTAAGGAGCTTCTGCAGCGAGCGCGACAAAATCTAAATTACAAGCCAAAATCGGTAAGCTTTTAAAAGCTTGCCATGCTCATTGCTGTGCCTCACATTCTTGCCTCAACCCAGATCCTTCTCCGTCTCACTCTTGTTCTTTCTCGAATCCGTGCACCGTGACATTCAGCTGAAGCGACTGCGTCGCAAGCGCACATCACGTCGTTTGACGCCCGACGAGGCCCAAACCTCTGACCAAGTAAGACTGGCCATGTGCACCACAACATCATTTCTTGACTGCGTGGTTCCTCTACCTGTGGTCCGGTTATCAATATGACGATGACATCTGAGTCCTGAACCCTCTTCTGATGTGTTTGTTCTGCGCAGCTTCCACCAACAGAGCCTCTGCTCGCTACTGCCTCACGTCTGCCAGAGCACCTTCCACCCACTGCCGTGCCCGTTAAGAGGTCTCAGGACCGCACGCCTCCATCTTCCAGCAGTAGTGGCGCCAAGAACCCGTCACACGGTCCTCCTCTCGAAATGAATACATCTCCCGCGCCCGCCACGACAAGCGCCTCGTCGCCCATCATCCTGTAATCGTGTGAGCCAGATTGAGCGGGGCAGCAAAAAAAAAAAAAAATTAAAATCAAAAGCCTTCCTTGTCACAACGAATAAGAACATGGCGCCGAATTCAAAGTACTATTTCGATTCTGGCTCTGAGGTGCGTTTTCGCCAGCACCAAAGGTCACGGATGCGTAGGCTGACGCCTCGATCCATCAAATCTCTGTGAGAACAAATCAAACTTCCCCTTGGTTTGAAATCGAGCGTCCATCTCTCGACGTAATAAACAAACCAATGCGAGAAGACTAGTTTTTGACACGACTCGAGCAGACGGCGAGCAGGAAGAGGTTGGGGCGCTGGAGACATTCAATGGCGCACGGTGATCCTATTAGACCTCGGCGGGAGGCGCCATTTCCAGAGGCATGCTCTCATAGCCGTGGTTTTCGACCAGACGCTGCGTCTGCGCCTCTGTCGCCAGCGTGACCGCATGCGCATTCTACCCAGCGTGCACGGCGGCCGCGCATGAGCGCAGACTCAAAAAGAGTTTTCAAGAATGCAAGGCATACCTCAATCACATCGGGAGACAGGAAGCGCTGGGCTGCGCGCAGCACATCCTCCCTACTGGCATCAAGCAATCGCTCTCGTCTGCAACCATTGGGGTCAGAGTGAGGTTGACATGTCTGCGAGCACGTGCTGAATAGCGGGGAAGCCCGTTCGGGACAGAAGTGTCTGTGCTACACAGTCTATTGAAGAGACACGATCGGTGCGCGACCAACCGCTTCTGCTTCATCGTTGGATCAATATCAGCCATGAACCAGTCACGGCCTCGGCGCCCCGGTGATGATGGGCCGTCAAGCTGTTGGAAGGCCATCAGCTTGGCTTCATTCAAATCACGATCTGAGGCCAAAGAAGAAAGACCAGGCATCATCCAACAACACGTGTGAGCTCTCGCTGGAATGCAAAAGGAATGGCATCAAATGCACCCCATAGCGGCTGACAACCCTCAGTCCAACATGCAGATGTCTCAGAGAAGCTGTGTCAATGCCTGACCAACCTGAAAATTGGCCAGAGGTAATCCACTCGCCGCTCCGCACAAAAGCCTCAAAGCTGTTGCCGGGACTACGACATCCAACGCACACAATCCAACACAACATGAGCCCGAATCAGCAAAGACGCGTATCGACAGTCAGCGCATGCAAAGGAGCTTGCTGACAACGCACTTGGGATCGCGGTAGCTGTAAAACTTGATGGCGCCATCGCCTTGGGTAACACCTCCTCCATAGGCACCGCCCTTTTCGCTGCACGCAACCCGCAGACTCGAGTGAGCTCTCAGCTACAGGGTGAGGGCACCTATACCCCAGTATGTTGTGGATGGATTGGCGCGCACAAACAACGCTGCTTACCGGATCTCGCGATGCAAAAATTTGAGAGACATGATCTTGAGTGCCAGCGTTAGTGCCGCATGGTCGTGGTCCGTATACGTGGTGCCAGGTACCGCTGCTGCGGCAAAGTTCACTACAAGAGTGCGGCAAAGCAATAGTCAGACGCGACGCAACAAAAGTCCCCAGACTGAATGGGCCCCGGATTGACAGGCCCCGTTTGTTGGTGCCAAGCGCCCGGCTAGCGCCTGCTTTCATACCGGCAAAGGGTGTGCTGATTGCTAAGCGAGGCGACTCTTGCAAGCGAGCCAAGAAAGGGGTCTCGCGAAGTGCCATGGTACTGGTTGTGTGGGGAACAACTAGAGTGCCACAATAAGTGTGAGCAGATGTTGGGCAATGGGCAATTTTGAGTCATCGCTCATGGAGTTGAAGACGAAACTTCAGGGAAGCAAACCTCGAGGTGTGATTTCCGGCAGAAAGCTGCCAAGCCTCTGTAAGCTGGTCTGTAGGGTTGCTCCATCAGCGTTGAGAGAACAGCTGGCAATGCCGCCGGTCACGAACGCAAAGAATAAAATGAGCAAGGTGGCAGAGAGTCGAACAACACGAGGGCAAAAAACTGGCAACTAGCGCACCTGGCATTTGGGCTGTACAAAAGCTGATCGCGCATTTGTAGGAGTTCAGCCGCAACATCGGACAACTACCGAGGGCACGGCACCGGAGGAACAGAGATATCAGCCAAATTGAAGGATCAAACAATTCTACACATTGACGTGCCATCGCAGAGTCAACCCCAATCTACGACCTACGTCCTGCTCGGCGGCAAGGCGGTTCAGTTCCAGTACGTGGGTCAGACCACCCAGGGCTTCACTTTCTGCAAGGCCCTCTGATATGGGACTGCCAAGCGCATATTATCAATCCGTCATTCAGAATGGAAGTGTAGTGTAAACACCGAGTACAGCGCGAGAAAGGGAGGCCGGTCGGGTAGGGGGGTTTCTCGGACGAATTGGACTGGCATACCTGGCGGCAAGGCTCATGGCAAAGACATGACCCGTCGAAACGACCGACTCAAACGCCATGGTCTGTCAGCAAGAGAGGTTTCTTGTGATGAAGAAGAACAAAGACAAACCATCCTAATGCAAGAGGGCCAAACCAAAATAGCAGCCAACGTACGGCCGACATTTGAAGGGTATTTCTCAGGTGCTGCATGTCATTAACGTGCGCATCCGCAAAAATGTCACGCCACAACCCAAACATGTGATCCAGCTTGCGTTCAAGCGCAGACGATGCCAATTCCAAATACTATGTTCGGCCCGACCGAAATATGTTGCACACCCATGCCAAACGTGAGGTGGAAAAATGAAAGGGCCCACGCTTGCGCTGAGGCACTCACATACCCGGGTGTAGCGATGGAGTTCTGTGTGATGGTGAAGCAAAGAGACGCTGGCGCCAAGCCCACCCGTGTGCTGACGAATCAACTTTTCAAAGTCACGGTAGGAGACATCCCCTGCCCCACAGCTGCCATGACACGCAACGAGCGACATGATCAAAGAGGCGAAGGACAATAGCTTCAAATACCATGCTGGGTGATCCAGTAGATTTCCGTGCGCAACCGTACCTGGTTAGAAGCGTGGTGAAAAGAGGCAGCAACTGATGCTGCTTGGCAGTAAAGTTGGTGAGAGGCAGCTTCATCCGAAAGTACGAGATGCCATTCGTGGGCTGCACGCAGACACCGCGCCGTGACACGAGATGACACGCAAAAAGGGATGAGCACGGTAGCCATATCAGGTAGGTTAAACTTCGGCCACGGGCAAGCACTGAACGCCTGACCTGCTCGAAAATGTGAACAGCACGTTCCCCCATCTGCTGCACTTGGCGCTCCGGATAAGCCCGGATGCGCTCAACGTCTTCCACGGCCAACGATGGCAGGCATGACACGTCCTGGAAAACACCCGGTTGCGTGGAAGTTGAAGATGCCATCAGTGGGCGGTCATCAGAAGGCGGCTGATTTTATTGGTCGGTCACAGGCACGTGAGCGGAATATTCCCAGAGTACATGACCAACCTCCTCGCGATTCTGCTGCTCCAACAGCTCAAGGCCGCGCTGGTAAATGTGCTCCCGATCTTGGTCTGACAAATTGCTGAGAACAGATTGCAGCTTGGCGTGCTCGCGTTGCTCCAGTTCCTACAAGATGACCGGTCGTGAGTGCCGTGGCTGCCTCGGTTGTCGGGACAGGCGGCAGCGAGATCAGCACTGTATTGCCGTGCTTGACGGACCGTGTTGTAGTGGGCATCCGGTGTCATGACCAGAGTAAGGCGGTGCTGGTTGTTCAGGAAGTGCTTGCGAATCAGGTTCTGGGTTTGAGGGGGCGGCCAGTGCACATCCGTGAGTATCTTTGTGACCAAACTAGACCGACGCAGAGAGGGACCGGTGCGGGAGAAACACTCCAGATGCAACGGGGTCGCGGCTGCCATACCTGAAAGAACTGTGGGTCTTGTCGCCAATCCTGCTCAAAGCGATCAATCAGCTGCTGGCCAAGCATCGAGTCCTCAAAAGCAGCTATTCAAGAAAGCCATTAGATGAGAGTGTCGGGGTCATGAGAGAACCTGAGTCGATGTAAAGAGCAGAACCACCGGTCAAAAGCCTTTCAGCGACGTACCACCGCGGAAGAGGGAGCCTATCAGAGAGGTGGCGATGTTCAAGCCAAAATGGGGTTTGACATCCTTTTGCGAAAGCTCAAGAAGGTGCAGGATGCCCTCGACCAGCTACCCGCATTGCAACGAGCGTTGAGGACAGCAGTTCAAGGTGAGCTTGGTGCAGCAAGAGATGAATAAAGGCGAATCGCGAGGCAAGTCTGAACGGGCGCAAACCTCGGGCTCAAACCCCTCCTGTGCAACTTGAGCGAATGTGGCGTCAATCGCCTGCAAAACTTGGTCATGCTGCTCAGGTCCAATGCCTTGAACGCCGATTGCAAAAGATGTCACCTCGGTTGAGCTGTCAAAGCCAGTATTGGGAGTAAACACCTGGGTCAACCAGCAGGCAGTGCAAGGAACATGAGAAGAAGCGTCACGAGAATAACCCCTGGCTGAACATCAAGTAGGAAAATGTTTTAATTGCATTGAAACAAGTGATTGTACCGAGCCGATGCCTTGATCAATCAAGCTTTGGAAAAACGGAGCGTGGTTTCCATCGGTCAACAAGATGCTCAAGACGCGCAGGCAAAAGTTTTCATAGGCATTTGCCGTGTCTGTGAGCAAGAAGGCCACAGACAGCTTGTCCTAGCCAGTCATCAAGTCGAAAAGCAAAGCGCGTGTACGTGAGAGAGTATGGCAAAGATATCAGCGCGGGTCTCTGTCAAGCTTGACTCACACACGCACACACACACATACATACACAAGCTGAAACGCATGTGCAAGGCTTGAATTTTCGCTTCATTAGAGGTCAAGGCCTGGGCTGAAACCTTGATTGACGGTGTTCTTACCTGCTTGGCGGGGTCGACGGCGACCGGATCGGGCGCACAGGAGACCACGTGGCGGCGCGGAGCATCCCAGTGTGTGGTAGTTGTGCGACCAATCACGGCACTCTGCCGTGAAAATTGCTTCAGCACCTGGGCGCGAGAGTTGCGATGGAGAAAGTTGAAGCAAGTAGGGCAGATGAACTTTGGGGCAAATCAGGATGGGTTGACATTTTGAGCAGTGGGCAAAAAGTGCAGACCTGTGTATCGAGAAAGTTGAGATGATCTTCAAGCAAGAGGTCACCATAGGTGATGAAGCTAGCCCGCAAAATCACCCGCAGTGGACACCCGCGTTGGAAGACGTTGAGTGAGCAATAATGGCAAGGACTTGGCTGCCTCTGACGTCTGCAAAAGCGAAACGGGCCCCTCGATTAGCAAGGGGCTGCCAACTCACCAGCTATTGCTGGGGTGATAATGCTGAGCATGAAAGGCCTTCAGTTCGTCGTGGGTCAGGTTGAGAATGTGCAAGGGCTCGCCACCAGATACGTGGCTGTAAATGGTGTCAGGGTGGAGCAGCTGGTGGCTCCGAGTCCAATAGAGCTGGTCCGCGGATGAAAGGGCGCCTTTCATCTCATTGAAGACGACGCCTAGCGTCACCGGCCGGGATTCGCATGTCGGTGAGCACACGGCAGGATTCCACAAGGAGGGTTGAGTGGTTGGCGACAAGGAGGGCAGATGGTGTGGCTGGCGCCTGACCTTTGAATTCAAGCGGGCTCGTTTGATCCATTGGGTCAGCGTGCTCGACGCGCCTGGCCCGAGTTGGACGAAATTCCAATGGCCATCACCAAAATGAGCTTGGCATTGGGCTCGAGTGTGTGCGGAGGCGGCGAATGATAATGAACATACCAGCCTTCCTGGGCAAAGTCTTGAGCTTTGAGAAGGGGAAAGAACACGGCATCGCAGTACACGCTCATCAAATTGACATAGTCTTGAGGATTTGTCGTCGCAAAAGGGTAAACGGTGTTGTCTGGTGCAGTAAAGGCGTTCATAAAGTTGGACAGGGATCTGGGCACAGCTCGCGTGAGCATCAAGCGGTCTGAGGATTCCATAGTTGTGTGGTGCGGGCCAGAATGGGTGACTGTGCCTGCGAGTGGTACTAACCGCGAAAGCATCTTGAAAAAGGGGTCACGGCAAGGATATCGCTCAGACCCACAAAGAACGGTATGCTCCAGGATATGCGGCACCCCCATGCTGTGTGGTCACGAGCAAGGGTGAGGAGGGCTATCTTCGCGGCGCCGGGATGACACGTTGACATGCGTGTTTCTCTATTGAGAGGCCGCGCACCTGTTGGAGGGTGGCGTACGAAAGCCCACAGCAAACGCGTTGTTCTCATCGGCACGCGCGAGGTGCACGTGTTGGGCGCCGGTCGGCTCGTGCTCGAGCTGTACAGCAAGCATCTCATACTCGGTGACAGGCCGAACAGCGGTGATGCGGTAATTTCCAATGGTTTGGCCTGCTTGATAACGGGACTCGGCTAAAAGATGGGGAGAGTCCGTGTTAGCCCGGGGTCAATCGACGACGAACCAGCGTGGGGGATGCGAAGAGCCACTGATGATCGACAACCGGCAGCTGACAGAGGGAGACACGTACCATCAGCGAGGCCTTGGATGCGCGCTGCGCTGGCCACATGCCGTTGTGTGGCTGCAATCGCCTGCAGCCGTACCATGGCTTGATTTGTCACGGCTCGGCCTACTGGCCGCATCCAGCTCGCCATGACGATGGTGATGGAGATGGCGCGTCGCAACTAACATGCAAACCCACATCATGAGGTGCCAACATGAGCCAATACACTGTCACTCCCACACACATCTTCGCGCTCGCACACCCGCGAAGGGTTTAAAAAAAAGAGGTCAAAGAGCTGAGACGACAGCCCATGTTACTGGCGCTGAATCACACCCACACTCCCTCCCCCCTCTTGAGACACGTCATTCACCGCCCCATCGCCCGCGCCTCATCCTCTCACCCTCCTCCTCCGCGATCAGCGTCTGATGAATAAAAATGCTCGCTCTCTCTCTCACTCTCTCTCTCAAACTCTCAAACTCTCTCTCTCTCTCTCTCTCTCTCTCTCTCTCTCTCTCAAACTCTCTCTCTGTGAAAGTCCGCAGAAACTTTAACTTTATCTGACAATTTGCTGCTTTTATACTATACATTAGGTTACATATTTGCTTCAACTTCTTAATATGGCTCCATGTGTACTTCTACAATTACTTAAACTTTTGCTTCATCATGTATAGTTGTTTCTTCATGGCATTTTTTCGGCGGCGCGCAGTGGCACTGAGGGTCTGGGTGAGTTGCCCCAAGCCCAAGGTGGTCGGCGGGAGGTATCCCAAGGTGGTCAATTGGAACAGGAATAAAAAAACAAATACCGTACAACATGGCGAGCCATTCGAACAGCGGGCCGAGCAACAGCATGCTGTTGACCACGTTGAACAAGTACTATACCGAGGCCGAGGGACAGGCCTACCTCGAAGCCCTCTCCAAGCAGTGGTACGACAACCGTTTGGCCCCGACGGCCCTGACCAACAGTGATCTGGCGTTACAGTACTTTGCGCAGCCGGATACCAACGCTTTTTATCAGCGTGATTGCAACAACGAGCGTGTCAAGCAGGCCAACTTTGGGCTGTTGGACCATCAAAAACTCCGTGAAATGCGCGGCATTGAATATGAGGCGCGCGCCGTTCTGCCTCCGTTTTTGCACCATGTTGTGCAGAAGCGACGCTTCAAGCCCTCGCTGGCCCTTGACACGGCCTACTACTACATTCTCAACGGCAACGCATATCAAGCACCTGACCTCAGCTCGCTCATCTCCAGTCGCCTCAGCAGCGCTCTGCACAGCCTCTCCGCCGCCTTCAAGGCTGGTCAAGGGTGCCTCAAGCGTGCACCACAATCCATGAAGCGCAAGGCCGCCTCGGCCAGCAAGCATCAACTCAAATACAAGACACAGGCCGCCTCGGGCATCCAAGCACGGCAGGTTGCCGAGGCACTCAGCGTTACTGTCAACAGCGCTGCCAAAACCGTGGCCGATGCGGCCGCCTCACCTTCAGCCTCACACGCCGTAGTCCCGTCCGAGGAGAAGCCTGACAGCAGTACTGCGGCTTGAATGCCAAAGCGTTCAAGCTGTCCTCTCCCTCTCCCTCTCCCTCTCCCTCTCTCTTTCCCTCTCTCTCGCTCTCTCTTCAGGGCCCTTGCGTTTGTGAAGCTCCCGAATGAGCCCCTTGTCGATACATCCCGGCCTAATCGAGAATAGTTTTTATCATTGTGTCAATTCATTTGGCTCGGCCGTCTACCACCACCGCCCTCCTTTACTTTGACATGTGTTTTGAAGCTGAAGGCTTTGACTCAACTTGCCTGCATCAATGTACTCAGAAAAGTAGATTGTTAAAACACGGCTTTAAATGGCGACCATGCCTAGAGTTACGCGTTGCGTATCCTCAGGCAGCCTCACCGCCACGCACATCACACACTCAACAGTCAAACAAGGCAAGGTGAGACAAGACACAAATAACCGTTTCTTGATCTATGGCGCCGGCAATTCGACGTGAAACGAAGGAAACCCTCAATAGCTAATCCCACGCCATGCCGGCCTGAATCTCTAGTTCTCCGATGCTTGATCCAGATCAAGCAGAGTGCTATCACTGTCGCTGTCCGTGTCACGGTCAAGCCCAGACTTGCTCTCGTCATCGTCAGCACTGGGACCGTGGAAACCACCGCGCCAAAAGTAGCCCAGTTCTCCATGCACGTGACCACACAGTGTCAGTGCCACCAGCATGCTACACCAACGGAAGTTGCAGACGCGGCTTCATGAGACCAGACTCTGCCGCACATACAGGCGGCATGCACGCAATGACGCCAGCGCCATTTTACAGTTCAGCCTCACCTAGGACCAAGATAGAGAAGCGCTGGCTGGGCCGTGTTCATGGCCGCCATGGCCGCAAATGTCAAGCCAAGACCTGCGTACATGACAATTCAACCCAAAGTCTGTGAAGAGCAGTTTTTCACGCCCATTTCTTCGCACAGGCCAACGTTGATGCGTCCAAAGCGCCTGGAATGGGGTTTGAAAGCTCTTCAGCACAGGATTCAACGCACCAGTGATGTAGGCAGCCAGGGCAGTCCAAAAGTAATGCAAGTGACGCAGAGCGCCTAGCCCACGCGAGCTTGGCACAACACCTCGATACTTGAGGCGAAGGCAATCCCAGTTGATGGCATACACGACGGCAAGACCCGGAAGCAAAATGTCACCAAACCCCAGGACACCCAAACCCCTACGCGCATGACCAACCACCCAGAGGATTGGACGAGTGGAGCACCAGGTGGTCAAGGCACATCGCAAGGTCAGCAAGAAACATGGCATGGCAAGCGGCCAAAAGGATACGATGATAATCTCGAAAAGATTGTTGCGTGGCACAAGGCATCACTACCAACCGATAGCAATAGTCGCTTTCAAAACGCGGCAACGTGAGAACCAGAGGCATACGCTCAGTGCTGCCACTGCCGCCCTATATTGATTCAATCCACATCCCGACAGGCAAAGGTCCATCATCACCATGAGAGAGACATTGCGACGGCTATGCTAACCGTCTCAGATCACCTTGCCCAGACTCAAGGGGATAGCCGTGCGGCGGAGTGCACACTCACCGTGGCAGCCTTGACCATGACCGAATCGTGGCTTTTGGTGATCAAAGGCGTGATAAACACGAAGAAGACGTCGTAGATGGGAAAGATTGTCAGCAATAGACATATGCTCTGACCGGGTGGGTCGCGGGAAGCAAAAAAAAAAAAAAAAAAAAAAAAAAAAACCTGGCTGTGAGTTACTCAGCAGTGAAAATTGTGAGGATTGAGCCAGAAGCCGAACGAAAGCCACCGCACCTGGTAAGTCGCCACGCGCAAGACGTTGAGGGCATTGATCAGTAAGCACATGCCCAAAATGTCTTGCAGCACCCAGGCATTGGGCTCGTGGCGGATGCAAAACCATGTCACACCCATGCTGTTCACGTGATGAAGGAAACAGGCGGTGACACGAAGACATAGAGAGGTATGCACGGGACAAGAATACAAGCGGACAATGAGTGGGGCCTGATTGGTTGGACTGCTCATGCACGCCGCGCTGACCAACCATAATCCAGGAAGTGCAGTGAGGCAGTCGTAGACGGTGAGCACGAAACCCCATTTGGTGCACAGGATGGATTGTTGGGTGGAGCCCGTCGACCAAGGCCACCAGGCTCGCAGAAGAGCTGAGCTGGCCGAGGTGCTACCAATGACGAAGAATATCATAATCACATAGACGAGATACTGCGGCCCGAACAGCCAGCAACCAGTTCAGATGAGGGCGAACCAGAAGTAGGCGTTTGAGCTAAGTATGCAAGGTCGGAGAGGGTGCGCAGGTTTGAAACGCACGGCGTAGAGAAAGTAGAGGAGGAGGAGAAGGCAGGAGGCCCACACCACCAGGTAGAGGATGAAGCGCCAGGTGAAGACGACGACGTCATCTTCTTTGGCTTCTTCAGCCATGGTCTCGGCCTCATCGGTCTGGTTCACCAGCGGTTGGTAGAGCCATTTGACCCGGTCGGCGTGCGAGGACCAGAGGCTGGCCGACACAAGAACAAAAATAGCCATCAGCAAGAATACAAAGGCACTCCCATCTAGTTTGCCTTGGTGCTGGGGATCAACGTGCACTCGGAGCCAGGTTGAACGGTTTGGCGCTACGTCCAGGCGGTCTGACACCATGATCACGCTGCAATTGACGCCATCATAGTCTGTATCCTGGGCGGCGACGGGGAGGGTCTGAGTAGATCCATGTCCAGGCAAGGATGCCATGTGGCCAAATGCGCCAGGGCAGGCGAGGTGTCCCATGTGAGTCGAAGAGCTGGCAAGGGGGCCACGACGGGCGCACTGGCGCAGGGGTAGTGACATACCACATCGCTATCTGGAGTTGAGACAATGAGGATGGCGGCAGGGGCATAGGGGGTTAGTGCCAGAACCTTGTCAGAGAATGTACAGTTGCCTCTCTTGACAAGTGCGACGTTGCCTAAGGCCAGGGGTAAGGCGGGTCGCCGTGAGACCCGTCTGTCACAACACGCAGACCTCGGTGTCTGTCAAGAGACGCAAAGCCAAGTCGACCCGCCACGTGCCCACGAATGGACAAGAAGTGTCCAGGGTATCTAGTGATGCACGAGTTGGCATACCGGCAAGCTGATCTCCATTCTGGATGTGGGTTTGATTTGAGCTGGGATCAGGACACGCCAGCTCCGGCGTGACAACGATCAAGGGCACGTTTTGGACGGCCACTCGACCCCAGCGTGTCTCCTGCAGCCCGCAGTCTACCAAGACCTCGTTCCCTGCCCCCGTCAGCTTCACCTTGACTGCATCCCCACGCGCCTCCAATGCCAGGAGCCCCACCAGTAGCAGCCCGAGCCCCGACCATCGAGCAGTCACTTGGCGCAACATCCCAATTTAATTTTTTTTTTTTTTTTTTTTTCGCTCTCTCTCTCTCTCTCTCTCTCTCTCTCTCTCTCTTGAAAAAAGTAGCTGACACCCCTGTAAGTATTTTACATATGAGATATAATGGTATAATGCTTAACGCTTTTCGACCAGGAGCAAGTATCACAGATCAGGCTGTTGACTTTTTTATGTATTTTACTTGTAAACATGCGCTTGCGGATGCGATGTGATCGCATGCATGAAAGCAGTTTTGGGGACGGGCACGAGCGGCGGTGGCTGAGGACAGCATGGGAACATGTTGGATTTGATCATCAAGAGCGGCGCAGCATCAAGTCATCAACTCTCAACACAGTGCGCCTTCTTCTTCCCCGTGTGATGAAGCGTACATCGGGAAGAAGAGGGCGCACTGAGCTACATGAATTTTATTGATTGTTTGTAACATGGTGTCAGCACATTCTGGAAGGAGAGTCGTGGATGATGAGATGGGCTGATGATCATCACGGCTTGCGCATTGGTTGATGATCATCATGGACTCGGAGACTGGAGAGGCAACCCCTTCGCCTCTCGATGGCCCTTGCCAGCGGCTTGCAGCTGAGGGCGCCCCTACCTTGAAATTGCCATTGGGCCCTTGCTGATTACCACCTGCTTCGAGAAGCAAGCGGTTGGCGAGCTGTCTCGATCAAGTTCAAGTGCAACCTGGCACGAGACGAATGTCATTTTACATCTGCCAGCTACCAGACCAAGCTTTTCAGACTTTCTTATTTATTTCCGCTTTTACGCAAACAAACAAGCACCAACTTGACCGACCAGCAGCATGGCCATGTCTCTGTTCAACGATTACGCGCTCGATGAGCCCATGCGGGGCTTTGGCAACGGCATGGGTTCGCGCGAACTGACCCGCTTTGGCGCTTGCGACATTGAGGTGCGTCAACAGTACCCGTATCGCGACGAGCGGCGCTCGCAGGCATCTCGATGGGACATTGCAATTTTCCCCGCTATTTCCTGACTCTTTGTGTTGTGTTGTCCATTCCAAAACTTGAATCGTTGCAGGAGCGCCCCAGTGCGCACATTTTCCACGTGGATGCCCCGGGACTGCGTGACGAGGACATTGACGTTTCTGTGCGCGACGACAACACGCTGGTGATTCGCGGCGAGCGCCGCCGTCAAAGCGATGAGGAGGACGAGGGACACCACTGGCGCCGGGTCGAACGCTCGTATGGCAGCTTCACCCGCTCTTTCCGCCTGCCCGATGACGCGGATGTCAGTCACATTGACGCCAACTACCGCCACGGCGAACTGATTGTGAGCGTGCCAAAGATGGACAAGCCCTATTCTCGCTCGCGACGCATCAACGTGCACGGTGATCACCGTAATAACCAGATTGAGAACCACTAAATGATTGACAACCTGCCCATGACTATGGCTATATTCGTACTTGTGTGATCGTGGCGCGTGCATTGTGTTCCTCGTGCAGTTGCACTGCAGAGAACGCTTCGTTGAGTGTGCGCAATCCCAATTGACCTGTTTTATCTACATTCAGATGTGCGAGTACGCCACCATTTTCATACACCATGATTCGCCACCATTTTCATACACCATGATTCATGGCCTTGTCCAACACTTTGCGGGAAGGCCATTGGCACAGTGACGCCGACACCGGCAAAAGGTTCCTAGATTTTAACACACAAAAACAAAAACGGGTAGATGGGTCTTGATATCGGGTCGCATATCTATGGCCGACTGGCGGCATCAAGCACGGCGTTGGGATTGGCGAGCTTAAGCTCGGGTATAGGAAAGCGCTGGCCCGCGGCACTGTCGAGCTCAAAGTACTCGCCGCATTTGGTGTTGCCCTTGTGCCAAGTGCCCTTGAAGCACCGTCGCTTGGTCACGTAAAAATAGCTGCCCTCACCCTCTTTCAGATCCTCGGCCCATTGTCCCTCGTAGCGATTGCCATCCTCTATCCCAACAGGAAGGCAGGTGGCACGCAAAGGCATGGCGACGAGCCGATGAGTCCGCAGCAGCCAACATGTGCGCAAAGCGACACTGCCACACACGCAGAGACCGGACCAGCAAAGGCCCAACGGACGCAGCACGAGATCACGCACTGAGGAGAAGCAGGCCCAGGCCATGGCGCATGTCATCAAGCCATTCGCCCTCATAAATGCTGCCGTCCTCGTAGTACATGCGACCCCAGCCTTCGCGGTTGCCTTCCCGCCATTCGCCTTCGTACTTTTCCGTGCCTTCGTCGTTGAAGAAGAAGGACCCTTGCCCCTACGAAACCCGACCAGCCAGGTGCAGGTTGGTGAGGCACGCCCTCTCCCAAGCGGAGCACGGACAGAGAAGGTGGCAGTCCGCTGGCGCTAGCGCACGGGAGGCGGCTTCGTACGTGTTGCAGTCCTGCTTCCCAATTGCCGAGGTATTGCTTTCGAAGCTTGCCGTTGCTCATGAAAATACTGCGCCAACCAGAATCCGACCCCACGACACCGAGTGAGTCGACCCGTCCACAGGCCCCACAACCGGCCATGGCACGGTGGCGTTTGCATTGAACCTGCTGGGCCCGCACCTGTAGACACCATAGCCTTCCTGGCGGCCGTCCATAAAGTCCCCTTCGTAGACAAACCCGTGCTCCCGACTGGTGTAGCAGCCCTTGCCTGAGCGCGGGGAGGCAGAGTACAGCGACAGACGCGGTGAGGCAAGAGAAAAATCCCAGACCGCACGGTCGCGAGTGGTTCATGGGGCCCTCCTGAGTTGAGCTAATGGATGACCGTGCCCAAGCAGCCAGATGCTGCAGGAACACACGGAAACCAATCAACCCCCGACCCACCATGCATCTGATCGTCACGCCATTCGCCCTTGTAGGTGTCGCCATTGGGAAAGGTGATTTGTCCGAGCGTGCCATTTCGCTGAGCTCGGCGCTCATTCACCTTCCACTTGGGCAGCGTTGAAGGCGGCAATGGCATCCTGTCCGATACGCCGCGTGCCAATAACGCATCAACCACCCTCAATGCCGTAGGTCTTCGTCCGGCCTTGACCACACGACCCGACCTGCGTCAGCTACCGCCCAAGAACAGAGAGCGCGAGAGCGAGAGCGAGAGAGAGAGAGAGAGAGCGCGAGAGAGGCAACACAATCCTTGCGACGACGTCGTCAAGGCCCGGAGACTGATAGTCTGACATCAAGACTCAAAATTGTCAGAAGAAGTTGACTACCAGATGTGATGAATGAGGATGAATGACAGTTGGTCGAAACCTCGTGGTGAGGTTTGAGCCCGTGGTAGCACTTTTTTTTTGTCTTGGCCCTCGGATCAACGCGTGAGTCATGATCGCGGTCGATTCCGACCCAGCGCAAAAGAGAGGATTTGCTCCTCGAGCAATGGCAGCCAGTCTAACGACTGGTGTCGCCGTGGTCGGCGCCCGGCGCCTGGACCATGGGTGATGATGGACAGGGGTCTGCAACATGTTCTGCTTTGCCAGAACTTGGATTGCGCTCGTCTTCAACACCCGACGATGCAAGTGGGTGACACCGATGGATTTTGTTGTGCTGCCTGCTCTCGCCTGGCGCCCTTTGGGGCATCCAGGCGTTGAGTCGAGTGCCGCACGCAACCCTCGGTTATATCCTGCGATATCTCTGAGCATTGCACGTCATGCTAGTGACGGTTTTCCAATTGACAAAAGAGTGCAAGTGCCATCGGTTGTTGCTCGCCTTTGGTGAAGGCAGCCGGTGTGTGCGGCGATTGAGCGCTCGAGGCCATGGACAAATTGGAGCATTTCTTCCAGCTGTGCGCGTTGCGTTGTTGTATCTCGGAAAACCTGGCGGTGGTGACGCTGTGAGCGTTTCCATCTTGGGCTTCCAATGATGATATAACATCGGTTCGTGGCAGCGTGGAGATTGCCCGAGTTGATCCATGTGCTCGACCTGGCCTTTTTATCTTACGTCAACTCGGCTCCCTCCTGCCGTCTTCTTCCATCTTCATGGTGCACGGGCCTGTTCTGGATTCAATGATTGAATATCGCATGCGAGAGTGGTGTCAAACACGTGGTCTGGGCCGTGGTCAGCTTGTGTGTCGAATGAGGAAGGCTAGGCGCGGTGCATGCACCCTGTCAATGACTTTCCTTGTTCGGCGTCTTGCTTGATTACACGCGCTCGTCTCCTCGTCTTCACCTCCATCTCTCTGATATTGTCATTGTATCCAGCAGGTTTCTTTTGCCTCGTGGGATGTGAATTTGGCTGTGTGATGGGGGGATGGGAGTTGAATCACTCTTTTTCTCTGGCAACCTATACACTTTGCAAGCTGTGTCTCTGCTTTCTCAAATGGTACATGCCCATGTGCCTTGGGACGCCCTCGTGATGTTGATATACGTCAATCCGAGCAGCGAGAGATGGACTTGCACGCGCGCCCATGGATAGACCACCGTTGGGGATCTCTCCTTATTGGGCAGTGTGCTGGCCTCATCGTCGGCGACGCCGCGTGGCTGTGACATTGTCTATCCCACATGCATGCGCATGGCCTCGCGGCGGGCCAGCTCGTCTCTTTTGCCTGTGTGTTGGTATTTCTTCGTATGTGTTGCCGTTATACTCACCTCGTTTCTTCTTTTTTTTGTCCTTGATCTTGTGCAGAGCCATGGGTATTGATATCCGCCACCACCACGCCAAGAAGGGCCGCCGCACGGCTCCCGAGTCGGAGGACCCCTATCTCCGCCTGCTCGTGAAGCTGTACCGCTTCCTTGCGCGCCGTACCGAGTCCAGCTTCAACAAGGTTGTCCTGCGCCGTCTCTTTATGTCGCGCATCAACCGCCCTCCTCTCAGCCTCTCCAAGCTCATGACCCACATGAAGAAGCAAGAGTCGAAGATTGCTGTCATTGTCGGTACCGTCACCGATGATGTCCGCGTCATTGAGGTCCCCAAGCTGACCGTCTGCGCTCTGCGTGTGACCGAGTCTGCCCGCAAGCGCATCCTCGCTGCCGGTGGTGAGATCATGACCTTTGACCAGCTGGCCCTCCGTGCCCCCACTGGCCAGAACACCGTCCTGCTCCAGGGTCCCCGCAAGTCTCGCGAGGCCGTCAAGCACTTTGGTGCCCCCGGTGTGCCCCACTCGCACGTCAAGCCCTACGTCCGCTCCAAGGGCCGCAAGTTCGAGAAGGCCCGTGGTCGCCGTGCCTCTCGTGGCTACAAGGTCTAAAGCGCCTCCTGCGTTGCGCTTGGACCCCCTCGCAGTTTTTTCCACAATTGATGAGGGCTTTTTGAATTTGATGATCTTGTGTCTCACATGTCAAGCAAACAATCCAAACTCGTCACAACACGCTGTGCAGTCGTGCGAGTCCAATCTGATTCTTGCCTTGTTATGGGAGAAAGCAGCGGGGGAGAAGGGTCCTCATGCTACCAACTGACATGGTGTCGCGCGTGCTGCTACCAAGTGATAGTGTCTTTTGCATCTTACAAATTTTTCCTTCATTTTCTTTACAAAAAAAAAAGTCCCCAACATGCCACCCCACCCTGCTACACCTGCAATGTAAGAAGAACGCTTCATCTTACAACAGCAAAAACAGAGGCGAATTGTCACATGTAAGATAAAGCAGCGAGAGCGGGGCGAGGTGGAAATCTTACATTCCCGATGCACAAGTGTGGCCATTCAACGTTATAATGTTATGTGATGGGATGTTCAAGTGTGGATTTGGATGACAATGGGGTCTTTTTTTTTCTCCCCCATCGCCGCAGGCTACATTTCTCTAGTCGCTGGTACGTGACAAGCCCCCTGGAACCTGCCCGAGCTCGGGGCGGGCCCGCCGCTGAAATGCCTCGGGGAAGATGAGGGAATGGTTGCTGGAACCCGGTGGATCGGTGTGTTTTGGGAGCAGTGGTCTTGGTGATTGATGCGTCGTGTCGTGGGTGTTGTTGCCACTTTGACTGCCGTTCCTCAAAACACACATCTCGGTGGTGTCCAGAGCGGGCGGTGTCGAGGGGAGGGAGAAGGGGTATCCTGATGCCCCCCCTCGGTGGGTCACCGCCCACCTGCACTTGCCGTGAATTGCTCCCCGAGTGCCTTTGCCATCTGCGCACACGCACGCTGCCATTCATCGCCAGCTCCACGTTGACGCCACCCTGTCCTCCCTTCGCTCCCATCACGCTCTCTGCTCTTGTCTGTCATTCTTTCTCTGTGTGTCTGTGTTTGTCTCTCTCTCTGTCTCTCTGTCTCTCTCTCTCTCTCTCTGTCTCTCTCTCTCTCTCTCTGTCTCTCTCTCTCTCTCTCTGTCTCTCTCTCTCTCTCTCTCTCTCTCTCTCTCTCTCTCTCTCTCTCTCTCTCTCTCTGTCTCTCTTTCTCTCTCTCTCTCTCTCTCTCTCTCTCTCTCTCTCTCTCTCTCTCTCTCTCTCTCTCCGCTCTCTCTCTCCGCTCTGTCACTCAAAAAACCGTTGTGGCCGTTTTTTTTCTTGTTTTCTTGTGTTTTTAGGCCTTTTGGTCTTCGTCCTTCTCTCTCACTCGAGAGTGTTGTGTGTGTGTTTGTTGTTTGTTCTGTGGTCGCTGCTTCCTTCCTGCCCGTCTTTGGATGGTTTGCCGCTGCTGGTGGGGATTGACCCGCGCATCGCTGCACATTGGTTTGCTAGCCTCATGTCCATCTATCCCTGCTCTTCTTCTTCTTCAGGCAAGTTGGCCAGCTAGGTTTCGTATCTTGGCCCTTGGATCAGCATCGCTACCCCTTTTGTGAGCAGCGCGGTTGCTACCTACAACCGCATTCCCCGACACGCCGTTCGGTCCTGGGGACCGACGACACAATGGAAGAGAACGTTGTTGCTGTCCTCGCAAACATGAAGAAGTCTGGCCCCCAATCCGAAGATGGTGATCAGCCCGCGGCCGTCCCCGACAGTCAGATGGCCCCCGTCCCCACCGACGCCCCCGTCCCCTCCAACGAGTCTTCCGACGCCGCAATGGCAGCTCGCGGTCGTGGTCGCGGTCGTGGTCGCGGTCGCGGTCGTGGACAAGGCGTCGATGGCTCGGATGAAGCCAACGGCATCTCAAACGACGCTGCTGCTGAGCCCGTGGCAGTGGGCCCTGCCGTCCCCGTCACCGGTGACATCAACGTGGGCGTCCAACCTCCCACCACCGGTGATTTGTATGACATGAATGGCCCCTCGGTCGGCCCTGTCCCCGCCACGGACCTAAGCGGGGCCCCCGTCGTCGTATCCGGT